CTTTTTTTTTTTTTTTTTTTATTTTGAGGAGGACGAAGGAATGTTCCTTGCTTAAATAGCACTTTCCCAGGCATCTGTGAAGAGAAACTGTAGCTCTAATAATGTGACTAGCTGTGTGTCCTGAATGAAATGCAGCTGTACAGAATAAATAGCACTCGCATTGGTTGTTTTCACCTGGCATAAAAATAATCTCTGGTGGTAAAAACTCCTATTGCAATAAGGTTTGAAACTGTAAAGTATGAGGCAGGTATCTCAGGTAGCCATCAGAGTGATGTTAGGGGGAAACTCACAGGCTTTTTGTGCTCTTGTAAGAGACTGCTCTAAGTTTTTAAAGGAAATTTCTTTTTTTCCATTGTTATTCCTAAATGGCAAACATTGCAAGCTTTTTGGAGATTAACATTCTGTATACCAGAAGATTTTCAGAAAATCGTACTTTTCGAGTCCTTTCATTTTGTGTTTCAAAAAATACTGACTGCTTCTGACTTAAGATGTGGTATGAATCTGGCAGTGGGGCTAAACTGCAGAGCTAGGAGAGAGATACCACACTCAGGAACAGTTGTGGTGTTTAATTAAAGCCTGCACAGGAACAGCGTTCTGCCAGTTCCCGAAGTTGTGTAGGACTCACCCGTATCTGCCCATGACCCTGCTTATAAAAACAAACAGGGAACATTTTTTTATCATCAAATATTGATAGCAGAGTTAAACATTGATCTAATTAACCATAACAGCTACAAATACAATGTTTTCTTTGCACAAGTGAAACTGGGGCAGAACCAGCCGCTTTCACATTTGATTGTTTTGGAATTTTCCTTTTTAACTTATTCAAGAACTGTTTCTTTTTTTTTCTTTTGCACATAGGCTGAGCCGAGCCAGTCGATAAGTATGAGTGGTGCAGGGGCTGCCCAGCCGAGCTGCCTGCAAGGAAGCTGGCTTAGGGGACAGTGTGGTGAGAATGATGTTCCCCAAGTAGGTACCTAAAGTGTGAGATGGTGTAGCTCTCAGATAAGCAAAGGATGATACCTTCATTTCCTTTTAGTAAAACTTGAAATAGCCAGCTTAGTGTTAAATTGGGTAGACGTCCTGCAGACCTCCCCACTGATGTCAGTAAACCACAGCTAGAAACTCAGCCCTGAGTGCCCGTGATAGTCAGAGATGGTGTCTGGTCTGTGCTTATCTGTGATTGAGTTGAGTTGAGCTCCCAATACCAGAGTGGTAGAACAGGATACAAGTCCACAACACAGCAGGACTAGCACCAGCTCCATGAGAGCACAAGGCACCCTAGCAAGAAGCGGCTGTCACGTCTGCATGTATTTCTTTTCTCTCCCCTCTCGCCAGGAATTGGTTATGCTTCCATAGTGATTGTGTCCCTTCTGAATGTGTACTACATCGTGATCCTGGCCTGGGGACTCTACTACCTGTTCCAGTCGTTCCAGAGCGTCCTGCCGTGGGCACACTGCCACCAGAAGTGGAACACGCCGACCTGCGTGGAAGACACTCTCAGGAAGAACAAAACACTCTGGATATCACTGAATGCCACTAACTTCACTTCTCCTGTCACAGAGTTTTGGGAGTAAGTATCCCCTCTTTGTGGTGCTGTCAGGGTGCTTCGGTGGCATGCCAGAGGTGGAAGCCTCGTGGCGAATGTTAAATAATAAAGAAAATAGTGTTTGCCACTGAGCTAGAGCTCATCCTGAGATGGACTGGCGGTGGAGGAAGGTGTTAGATGCATAACTGTATTCATCCTAGAGCGTACAGGGAGCCCTAAAAGCCCAGTGCAACTTCTGTTTTGGAAGAAAACTTGTTTCCTTCTTGGTTGGGATTTTCTAAATGCAGCATGAGAACAGAAACATGTCACTTCAGATTCCCTGATAGCATGGATTCACAATGGAAACAATGACAAATCACCCCTGTTGTAGTTGCCTTTCCCACTTCCCCAGCTGTTAGCGTTTGCAGTACGCTTTGTGAAGCTACAACACATCTCTTATCAGTCTGACAGCGAAGCAAGGCATTGACCTCAGCAATAAAACTGACAGAGGTGGGGAACATTGTCCCATACTGTAGGTTTCTCAGGTCATATTTGTTACATCATTTTTCTCTGTGGTCTCTGCGGAGACTCTGTTTTGCCAGATGCCTGGATTTCATCAAGGCTAAGCTGCTTATTCTCATTTCTCTCATTTTTCAAGTTTTACATTATATTGCATAACCTGATTTCTGAACGGGCATGACCTCAAATGTGTTTATATAGGCGTCAAAACATAGCAGCAGAGGAAGACACCTGTAGGGAAACTTAAATCCAAAGGATCTACAAATAGCTTAGGAAGAATTTTTTTTCTTGCCTTGCTCAGATGATCACGTAAGAGTAGAATTATTTTGTGACCCAGCTTGGCTTTTTCAGCCTGTTTAAAGTCCAGTTTTGTCCCTGATCAACTTGTACCTACTTCTCTATTTTTAAAAAGAAGCGTCAGCCCAGCAGGAATGATGTTCATACCGAAGATACTTGGCATACGTTAGGTTTTGAAAAAAATGTTCTTATGAACTGTGCTGAAATTTGTAACACAAGAACTAAAATCCAAAGGGCAAATTGGATCTTGGATGAGCAGTTTGTCAAGAGGTACTGGTGTGAGGGATGGTGCAGGCTATAAGGGCAGTTGTTTTCACCATGCCACAAGCCTTGTGTTTCCATGCTGAGCAACAGATGCTTTCCCAGGTGATTTTGTACCTTCTAAATATGGAGGGAGTTGGAAAAGATTTGTTAAATGGTACTTTTGAATATTTTAGGGAAACTTAGAGGCAGGTTGCAGTTGAAGAGGAAGCAACTGTCACTGCTTTGGACTCTCCCACAATGACTTTGGAACTGAGGGCCTTGAATCCAAATGAATGCTGGGCTGGTAGGATGTTCAAAGGTCTCTTCAAGGCCTCCCTTGTCCACAGTGCTGCCCCTGAAATAGAGTTACTCTCCCAGGACTTCAAAAGCACTGTGCTCATCTTCAATTTTGTGCAGTAATTTTGCTCACAGGTCCTCTTGTACTTGGGAGCAGCCATAGGCTTAGCAGCCTCCTGATGTGGCCGTGGGGTTGTCCTGCTGCTCCAGAAGCTCCCACTCCTGTAATTGCACAGATTTATATGGCAGGTTGTCTTAACTGGAGCCCCAGGTGGCATGTCCACTTCAGGAGACTGACGATACTGTAGCAGAAAGAAATAGGGCTGGGAGTTGGAAAACAGGTTGTAAAAGGAAAAGTGAAGGATCCAGAACCTCAGGGGACACCAGAGCTTTCTGTGAGTAACGACACAGCAGGTACATGGTGAAGGGCCTTATGGCAGGTCAGTCTGTCCATGGACTGGAGGAACAATGTCCCCATGGGAGCACGTTAGGGGTGAAGCTTTTAGTTTTTTCTCTAAAAGAAAACAAGTTTCTGTCCTCAAGACTCCTCTGCAAGCTGAGCCAAACCCTCATGTAGACAAAGGAGTAGTAAGAGATGTAGTCAGGCTGGAGTTGCCTGAGGCCGGAGGGCAAATCCTTAATCCTCACAGTGCTTTCCCCTTCCCTCCAGCTTGCCCTCACTGTAGCACAGCCAGAGCAAAGGTTGCTCAGCTGTTAGCACTCGCAGAGGCTACTTTCCTTGCATTTTGCAGCCACTTTAACTTCTGTCCTCAAATAACAGTTTTAAACGTCGTGAACTGAACTCTTCCCTGGAGTCACACTAGGGAGGAGTTTGGCTCTGTGGTCCTACTAAAACAGACATACTGTCCATTGCTCACTGTTTCATCATGAGCGAACTGCCCTTAACAGACCAAGCTGCCTTCGGGACTCATGGCACTTACAGAAGTATTAAAAATAGCTGTTCTCTCTGCATAAACAACTATTGGTGTCTTAAAGTAAGGACAGAGATCACTCAGCACAGCACTGTTGTAATTAAAGTAGCTTAGCTTTTACTTGGTGCAAGCATTTAGGATCTCCAGTTTTTCCCCAGCCATGCTACTATTCTTTATAGTTCTGAAATTGAAATAATTTCAAGAACTTTCAGGTACTTTGTCATCATAGACAACACCAGCTGCCGGGCAGCCAGCTACCCACATTGAAAGGACAGGTCAATAAATAGTCTTTAACTGAAGATATCCATCTGCTTTGTGGTACAATTAATTCTGATTTAATTCAAGGGCTTGTGAGTGTTTGGTTTCTGAAACCCAATGCCATTTTTATTGTGGGACATTCATGTAGTGTCCTCATCAGTGTTGCTTTGTAAAAGTAACGCTGCCCAGATATAATTGACCACATTGATGTATTAACCTCTTTGCATTGAATAACGTGTGTCCTTCTCAGCCTGGCTGGACATATAGTACAGCCTGACATTTCAGTTCATTTGAATTAATGTTCTGTGCAAATCACATGCTTGCTTGAGCAGCAATAAAAGGGGGTTAAGCAAATCTGGCTTTGTATCAGGAGACTTACCTCTTGGTATCACATGCTTCAGGTCTTATTTCTGAAGATTTTATTTTGAAGTCCAAAAACTTAAAGGCTTACACACGTATTAATACATAAGGGATAAGTGCTACAGGGTAATTATGGTTGAACAAAACCTCTGATTGTCTGGTGCTGGCCAAGTGTTTATAAATATTTGGTAATCAGCAGACTTTATTTGTCCAAATCCCAAGAAAGTCCATCACATGCTAATGGCATGTAATCCCAAAGGGAGCAACACAAAAACTAAACAAAATCTAGGGCAGCTGTCTCCGCCTTTGGGGGCAAACTTGAGAGTTTTAAATTTGTTTCATATTCTCTTCGTAATGGTCTTCTGGTACAACTGCTTCAGTGTTAGTTATTCTTGTCCATCCAACATGAAAGCGTGCTTCGCCTTTCCTGGTACGAAAGGTCCTGTCTGCATTCAGTTGATTAACAAGCTGGAATATCCTTCAAGGGTTGCATAACTCTTCTCATTTTATTTTTGTTTGTGTTCTAAAGCCAGTTGCAGCTCCTATTACATTTCTATATTACACATCACTAGAACATACTAGTGTATGAACAAGGTTCAAGAACTCATGTTTACGACAGACTCAGCCCCAGCCTGTTGTCCCATTGATTATATATGAGTGGCAGTTAGTGACAGCATCAAGACTATAAATTAGCATTAGTAGCACCTTCATGCATAAATGGCGTGAAGTTGAGTGGGCTTGGCTGAATCTAAGCAGGAGTGGGTTGTGTAACAAGATTGAAGAGCTATCAGCATAGCCCGGCTCCTGCTCCTTCCTGAACTTGAATTTTCAGGATATCACAAATCCACGTTAAGTGCTTCAGCTGCAAAAATATGTTGGGTTAGATTGCATGAAGCAATTTTAATGCTGAGGCTCTCCTAGTAGTTCTGAATGGATTCCTTGAGGTAGTCAGTCTTCATCCAGGACAGAGAAAGCCAGCACATCACTTATGGCACTTGCTGCCTCACCATAGAAGAGTAACATATCTGCCTCTCAGTAACCCACTGGGTTCCCTCCAAAAAAGCTTGAAAGGGTTGCTGGGGCAAATTTGAGGTGAGATGACCATTTGCTTTTAGTTCCCTAATAAAAAGCAAAGAAGACTTAGCCGAATGCATTTAATAGAGCTCGCTATTCTAAAATGCATTTGCAGTTAATTATTCATGGCTTCCTGAGAGCTAGCTCTATAGGCTACCTTTTTAATATGAACTGCCCCATAGATTGGAAAATTGCCATTTATTTTTAAAAAAGCTGTAGAAAGTTGCAGGTGAAGTTTGTCATCTTATAAGTATTTTTTTTCTTTTGTATACGCACAGCAGGTTTTTCTTGGTTTCTTTAGGCTCAGGTGAACCAGGACTGCAACTTTATGCCAAATATTCATTACCAAGGGGGTTCTTGTAACTGTTGAATAGCTCTGCTTATTAGGGCAGGCTTGCCCGGCCTGGTGCCATTAGTCCTTTTCCATAACAATATACACACGTTCAGAGAGAATAAAGCATTTGGTGTGAGAACACATTCACACAGGTAATCTGAGTGAATTTGGCAAAGAGAGACACAAAAACAGATGGGTGAGGGTTTGAGTCCTATTAAACTGGTCAAGCCAGGGTTTTTTTTCCAAAAACGAATTGCAGATTTTCCATCAGTGACTTCATTCGCTATTATTTTCATGGTAAAAGAAAAAAAAAAAAAAAAAAAGTTTAATTAATTCAGGGGAAAAACAAACCACAGTGGTTTGTCTTGTACTGGATCCACACGCAAAGCTGACCCCGCCATGCTTGTGGGCCTGACACTGGTACCACAGCCCAGACTGCTGTGGTCTTGGCTCTGCATGACTTAGGTGAAGGAAAGTCACTGATTTTTATAGCTGTCTGAAAATAAAATTTAATTAACAATTTGTTAGGTAGCTAGTTCGTTTCTCTGATCTCAGGGCAAGGCATTTCTTCTATGACTGAGGTCAAAATTCTCCTTGACTTAAGAAAACTTGCAGAAAGTCTTCAGGTTTTACTGGGTTCATTTGCAGAGGAGTTTTAGCCAAGTGAACAGTAAGAAACAGTTTGTTCTTTCGTACACATTTGACAAATGACTTAAGTATCAGGTATGACAAGGTCTGTCCAATGTGTGAGGTCAGCGTATGCTGCATGGAAGTAAAAAAAAAAAAAAAGGTTTTAAACCAGTGTTTAACAATGACCCATGGCAATTACCAAAAGAGAGAAACCTTAATGAATTTTTCCCCTCAGGAACAGAGTATTTTGATACTCGGGTGTTGCTCCCTTAAGACATAGCTTAGTAATTTCTTTTTATTTGACTGAAGTGACAGAATAAAGTTTACCAACTACCTGGCATTAGCTAAAGGTGACTCTGGTGGGGTGGTGCTGAGGGCAGAGGGCAGTGCACCGACCCAGTGTTTGGGGCTGGGGGGCATAACAGATCATGGCTCCAGCCTCAGCCCTGCAAAGCCACACAGTGTGATGGTCCCCTGCATTTTCCCCTTTCCTCCTCACGGCAGTCTTGCTTATGAACTGAAAAGGAGGTGGAACATGCAGATGCAGGCCAGTTGCAAGTGTCCATGATGGACATCATGGGCAGTGCTGCCTCGTGGCTTCAAAGCCAGGGTTTGTGGCAGTGGCAGGGTGAGCTGGTCTTGCATCTTCAAGGGAGCAAATGGGAAAGCCACAGTGCTTTGAGCATACTTTCTTATCTCATACAGACATGGTCACAGACTGCTAAAAAGAGCTTAAAATGAAATGCTGTACAATATATTGCATGCTTTGCTCACAGAAGCCGTGCTGATTTAGCCAGCAGCGTTCCAAGGGCAGGGATCTGCCCATGTGTCTGCTGCCCTGCACACCATCCCGTGCTCTCAGACATCACAACCAGACACTGCATCAACTGAGCTCCTGCATCTCTCTCTTGTTTTTTTCCTTTCAAATATTCAGGCGGAATGTACTGAGCTTGTCATCGGGAATTGAAGATATTGGTATTATCAAGTGGGATCTAGCACTGTGTCTTCTCCTTGTCTGGGTGATATGTTTCTTCTGCATTTGGAAAGGAGTCAAATCCACTGGGAAAGTAAGTACTCTTTTACCCTTTTTATAATGATTGCAGTTAACAAATTTTAGGAATACTAAGTAATGCTGTTCTTAAAGATACTATTTCCTTGAAAAATACATATTTTTGTACTGAATAAATGAGGGACTTGGATTCAGCTGACTTTGAAAAGTCATTGCCAGCGCCCAAAATGTGTATGAATCAAGTAGCCATTACTGGAATGGCATCAAGAAGCAGATCCAAGCATGGTTCGAGTACCACTTTGCCTCTCTGAAGATGAGTGTCCCAGTGATGCATGTCATGAGCATGGAAGGTCTTAGACTTGCAGTGTGTGGTGCTCTGTGCTCCCTGTCCATGCTCTCAGACCGGCCAAGTTCACTCTCAGTGCAGCGGGTAGATGTTAACATAGCTGTGGTAGGGATGTTTTAAGTCAGTGGAAACTGCTGGATGCATAGCATTTTTGAAATGCCACTCACTTACAGAAGAGCTCTGTGCAGACGTAGGAGACTAAACTTAGGTGCTCGTTTAGAAACACTCTCCTTAACAGAGATCCTAGACAGTTTGTGTTTTCAGTCGCACCATGTGCTCTTCAGAATCATGTTTTTCTCTAAAGGATAACAGTTAAATCATTCCTGAACCTCATCCTACTCTAGTGCAAGAAACAAATTACAACAAATCTCAGCCAATCACTTAACATGAAGCATGATGTTGTTGCCCTTTGCATACAGTAGTGTTTTTAATGACAAAAGGCTTTTGAAGCCATTGCATATTGTGTGGGGCTCAGCTTTCAAACCTGTTGGTTGAGGCAGCGTTTCAGACAAATCTCACAGAGGAAGAGAGGTGTCGAGATACTATGTTCCCACACATTTCTTGTCAGCTTGGTGGAAGGGAGCGACCCCATTATTGTCCCACCTGAGAGAAGGGCCCCAATGAATGTACCTTTTATCAGCCTCCAGAGAAGTCAGGAGGAGTGAGCAATTGCAAGTGACTCAACTGCAGAAAAAGCATCATTTAGCAATTTTACCTTGTTAAATGCTGCAGAATCAACCGGGAGACAAAACTCCGTAGGAAATCAGACCTCATTAGTTCCACTGTTGACTAAACTCCTTGCTTTACTGTCGTTTCTGTCTTGCTTTCTGTGATGTTTATCATGGAGCCTCATTAAAATCATGCTGGTGCCTTACCCTGGATTCCTGCCAGCTTTGTCCCAAAGAACAGCTTCCACACCTTTAAAGCATACATTGACAAAAATGTTTGCTTCTCTGTTCCCTCTGATTGATGTGACCCGATAAGGTGATTGTGTAAGTTTTATAGTAAAGGTGAATGCAATAAATCTCCCCCAGTAGCCGAGTGGAAGGCCACTTTTCTGCAATACCTGTAGTGAGCCTGGTGTCTGCTCCGTAAAAGTTATGGTAGCGCTGAGAGATTTTTTCCAGGCTCCCTGTGGTACACTGTTTCAAGCCCCTGTGAAGGCAACAGGTTGAAAACAGCTCTGTTACAATCAGTTACCTAAAAATCTGTTTTTTCTGAAAATGCAGCAAAATATTCTCATTTCTAAAACAAGGCGGTTGGTAGGAATTTGCTGCCTCCTCTCCACAGCGTCTGAGCTCGTGCGGGTGTGGAGCCAAAGCCCAACAAAACCATTGGAAAGTCTCCGGTTGACTCCATTAACTTTGGGGTCAAACAAAAGTAAACTGTAAACTCTAATGGAGGACTTGAATTATTTGAGAAGTCTAGTTTACTTTAGTAGATGGTTGTTTATAGCACTTCCCTGCTTTCCGGCGTGTTAATGGCTCTTTGGAGAGCAGAAAAAAAAAAAAAAGGCATAATTTTTAAATCTCATAGTAGCGTATTGGACAAATAAACATGCAATCATGAGGAAAAATAATAGTTGTGCTTATGCTTTGGATAATATACTTGATCTTAAAAATTCCTCCAGCATTATGAGAGAGTCTTTACCTGCAGTGCAAAGGCCACTTTCTGAGTGTCGTTTACGCAGTTCCTGCAAATATGTCAAGCCATATATTTTTTTGTAAGAAAACTTTGATTTTTTCATAGGTCTGTCTTACACTAAAAAACATTAGAAAGTCTCCCTTTTGGTTTGGGTGAAACTGGGCTAATGTGCAATATGTAGTATTTGTCAGTGGAAAATTTACAGAAAATTCATGGAGAGCATTAGGGATGTGTGTGAAAAGACTTCCTTTCACTTTCTGCAATCAGTCTGGCTCTGTGAATTATTATGGCAATGCAGGCTTTGAGTTCTCCTCGTTATTCTCAGAGGACACACTTAAGAAGAAAAATGGTGCATCCCGTGAGGTCTACTGTAGTTAAACAAATTCTGGAAAACAAAAATACATTTTAACTCATGACAGCAAACTCTAATTACCTATGGGGATTATCTGACTCCATGAAAAACGCCCTTTCTTGGACAGTAGTGATTCTTGACTGTAACACAGCAGTTATATAAAAAATGAGAGAAAGCACTGATGAGCAAAGAAAACAAGATGTTAGAGGTCAAAAAGTGTGTGTCTAAAGATAGAACTATCCAAATGCAAGCTCAATTAACCCTCGCACTGGAGATTAAAGCAAAGGGTTCTTTCATCAAATGAATGAGAAGATAACAAGAAGAGAAGAAGTAGGCTGTTATTCAAAAAGAGTGGGAATAGAGGTTAAAGATAATGAAGACATATTCTCAAACTGGATGAATAGAGCCTTAGTTTCCAATAATGATGTTGCTGAATAGGCAGCAAGGGCAAGAATGAAGTTATGGGACTGGAAATTACCACTGTTGAGTCTGATGCCAACCTGAAGGGCTTCATGCGTTCAAGGCGATGGGAAGGGAGACACAGGAGCACGGACCAAATTATCTTTATCACTGAAAGAAGTGCCTCGTAAAATTGCCTGTAGGAGCAGTAGTGAGGCAGCACAGCAAAATTCAAGATAGCAGCAGAGCTTGCAAAACAGTTTGCAGTTTTTAAGTTCAAATAAAGAATGAGGTAATGCTTCAGGCACCCTCAGTGAGGAAATCTCTTCAGCTTCCCTGGCAGAGGTGCACTTGCCACGTGAAGAGGAAAAACAGGGCAAAGGGAGAATTTCTAACCCAAGTCATGAGCTGTATAAAGTCCTGTATTCTCTGCCTGAGTGACGTTACCACCCCGGGGGGCTCTGGAGGGATTAATGAACATGCGTTGCCTCAGGCCTAAAGCAATAAGATGGTAAAGATCATTAAACTAAAAGTAGACACAGAAACTCAGGTTGGGTCCTTTTTAGGTATGAAGGGGTTTAGAATTCCCATCGTTGGGTGTCTCCTGATTCTGGAGGGGCCATTTACTGTCACACACTAAACATACTTCTTTTTTTTGTTGTTGTTGCCAGGTAGTGTATATCACTGCCACATTCCCGTTCATCATGCTCCTTGTTCTACTCATCCGTGGTGTGACCCTTCCTGGAGCTGCAGAAGGCATCAAGTTTTATCTTTATCCTGATATCTCACGGTTAGCTGACCCACAGGTACAGAACCAGGAGTGGGGAATGGGACGATTTCCTACACAAAGGGGGATGGTGGAGGGTGATGGTGGTGATGTAATGGCAATAGGGTTCTTTTCCATGGTCTTTAGAGGTCCGAATATAGCATGAACATTAATGCTGGGTTATATTTTCCAGAGATCTGCTTGAGAAGGTCACTGTTATATGTGTTAATGCATCTTTCCATGTGTATGTATGTGTGTGTATGCGTGTGTATTTTTTTTTGTGTCAAAGGACTCTGAGGCTGTAGACTCTGTCCCGTTATACAATCTCAGCTTTCTTGTTGGTAAGGTAAGGGAGATGCATTTTTTTAATGAGGATAGTCTTTAGTTTCAAAGGAGAGACACGTGAGCTTCACAGATGGAACAACAAGCGACAACTGTGAGTACCAGTGTCACTTAGCTCCCACTGCTCAGTAGGAGGAGATTGGGAAAGAAGTGAATGATATAATAGAATGAAATAATTGAAGAGTGAAAAGCCATATAAAGGTGGAGAAAAATGCTTTCTGAGGCACAGGAACTACTGTTTGCTTAGCCCTGGCTAGTGGGAGCTGGGCTTACCTTTTCTGTATAGGCTGTGATTAGACAGAAATGCAAAAAAAATGCAATGCCCCCCCCCAAAAGAAAAAAGAAAACAAGGGATCTTTGAAAATAACGAAGTGATGGTCACAGTGAGAGGGAATAATGTCTTTGCTATTTGTTTCCTATGCACAGGTAGTTTAAATAAAACTCCAACAGTAGCTACGTAACGGAGGTAGGAAAAGTAATAATTGAAAGAAACATTGCAGAAATTTGGTTCATTCTCTAGTCTTGCCCTCTTTATACAAGACACCCTCTTTATAGGAGACATTATATTTTATGAATGAATCGTCTTTTATGGGACTCTATCATTTTTATGATCTACTATTAGCCCTAAGCTCAGAGCATCAGCCGATAATGTAGAAGAGATTCATGCGAGCTGGCAGGCCCCCTCCCATGGTCTAGCAAATGCATCATCTCCAAGGAGACACCAGTCAGCAAGGTGCTGGGAAGCAACGGAGGGAGGGAGGAGGTAATGGTCTACAGTCTAAATTCTCACTTACTCAGACTCCTTGGTGGTTAGCAGACTTGCATTAGCAGAAAGCAAACAGATGGGTTTCAGTGGATGCATTTTGATAGGTTACTGCGTATTTACTAACCAAGAAGCTGATAGTGTACTGTTATTTCAGTCTGTGTATTTTTTTAAATGTAATCAGGAGAAAGAATCATGAGACCAAGATCAGATACGTATCTTATAAAATGCATTGTATTTTTCATGTTTCCCCCCCCACCCCTATGGCTTTTTATCTTGCATTTGAACAGTTATAAAAACAACCAGAAAGCTAGAAAAATAAACAAACCAAATACACAAACCTGTTTCTCAAGCTTTTCACATCCTCAGTTTAGTGACTTTGTCAGCTGATTCTAACTGAAATGAGTTACGACAGAAATGAGCAATGTTATAAATACTTCTGCATTTCCTATTGCACTGAAACACGTTTATTGTTGCGCCAACAGGAAGGATCAGCTGAATGACTAAGAAACTAGAAATACTGAACATCTCTGGGGAGGGGATACAGGAACTGTTGTAGAGATGATGTTCTTGTGGGCTCTGACGCTAACAATTTTCTTTTCTCTATAAAAGCCAAAGTTGCAAATGTGATGTTCTCTTTCCCTCTCTCCCCGATCCTTTAGCTATCACCCTCAATGGATGCAATTGTTTTGTTGATTTTGCATATTTTGAACTGTGTGTTTGCGTTGAGTGTTGCAGTGCAATGATGCGGGTAATAACAGTCTTTCTGTCTTTCCCTTTAGGTCTGGATAGATGCAGGGACACAAATCTTCTTCTCATATGCAATCTGCTTAGGAGCAATGACTTCCCTGGGGAGCTACAACAAGTACAAATACAACTGCTATAGGCAAGTTTCCATCCAAGGGGGTTTAGTGTTTTAGCTAAATGATGTAAATAAAGTAGGGACAATGGGTTAATTTTTTTTTAATTAACTTGCTCCATGACATATGTGTGACTTAGGGACTGTTTGCTGCTGGGATGCCTGAACAGTGGTACCAGTTTTGTGTCTGGCTTCGCAATTTTTTCCGTCCTGGGCTTCATGGCACAAGAGCAAGGGGTGAACATTGCTGATGTGGCAGAGTCAGGTACGATGGTATTGGTGGCAGTGGTGGTGGGCACTGCCGCCTAGCGTGTGAGCAAAGTTCTACAGACTCAATCAGCTAACATTAAGCGATAAAAACAGAACAAGATTTCCCATAATCTCAAAAAAAATAAGCGTATTGTTGATTTGGGCTTTCATCTAGATCAGCGAGGGTTAGCTGGGGTTGCATTGTTTACTCTGTCTTGATTAACAGGGCAGCGAACACATTTCCTAGAGCGTGCTAATCCATTTGAGTTGAGATTAGAGTTAAGATAACCACACCATTGTCTAGGGTCCAGAATGTCATTGATTCAAGAATTTATTCCATCTTTCTTTTCAGATTACCTTTATTTTCATTCAAATGTAAATAGCCAGTATTTATGTAATTTTCATAGTTTAGTTTGGCTTGCTCGTAGCGCTGCAGTGGGAATGTTACCTTGGCCTTTTGGAGGGGTATAGGTGCATATATTCCTGGGTCTCACTGAAAGGGAAGAGAAGTTGGAAAACTCCATCTCCTGGGTTCTGTGGACCATTTATCCACAGGAGCTCTAGTTGTTACAGTCCTGCATTTGTCCCCTGTAGCTTCAGGGGGAAATTGACAGAGCTGTGAGAAGTCCATTTTGAAACTGGATGTACACTTAGGTTCCTCCCTTACTCCAGAAGTGTTCTTCCCATTAACGTTCAGCTACGCACTTGCAGCTTAAGAAGGATAAATCCTCATAGCATATCAATGTATCTCAGGCAAAACAGATACAACATTCTTCCTCTGTGTGTGTCTTGTCTATGAGGGCAGGTGTAACCCTGTGTTTTCACACAGAAGAGACAGATTAGATAGGAATTGCCGTTCAAAAATAATGAGTCAGGTCTTGACAGCCATGATGCTAAAAGCTAATCAGATTCAAGTAGTAACAATGGCACCTGAGTGCACTTTTGGCATTTCTTTCTGATTTTTTTGGCCAAGTTTAATTCATCTGCATAGTATTTGAAAGCTTTCCTCTGCAAACATGCCATTAAAAAGAAAAAGTCAATATATCTTCTAATCACATGGCTCTGGGAGTTAAGTCTTTAAGAAAAATATCTCACTTCACAAGGGCTAATGAAAAACTAATGACATTGGTGGCACCGCTGGATTCGTGGGTGGCTGCAATTGGCATACCTCTCGCAAGTGCAATTAGTTAACAGTCTTGGCCATAATGCTTATTTTGATCAGAGATGGATTGCTTTGTTTGAAAACAGGAAGCAAGGGACTAATCCTATTGAATGAATCATAAATAGCCCCATTTTTTTTATTATGTAGGTGGATCAATTCCAAGAGTAGCATTTTTAAGTATTTTCACATTAAGTTTTTATCTGGTCAATATTTATTCTAATTTTTGTTATTAAATCTTTGATAAATAGGCAGTTATATTGCTGTCGCTTCACATCTTTAGAATTAAATAACTTTATAGTAACACTGGGTTGTTAGAGTGATGTTTAAACACAAATTAACTTACAGACTTAGTGTTTACATAGCAGTTTTTCATCAACAGCTCAAAAAGCATTTTTTTAAGGAAGGACTTTATAGCTTATTATAGGGACAATGAGGGCATTGATTAGCTTCTGAACTTGGCTTTCGGTTTCTTGCATATTTTGTTGTTGATTCCCTCAGGTTTTCTACCTTATTTAATTCGGCCCCAATGGCCAGAGATTGCAACCATCTCACTGTTCAGTCGGTTGCCCATCATCACTGGCTGGTCTTCAGCTAAATCCTAAGGGACATTTTTACATGACAGCAGACATTACCAAAATTGTCCAAACCACCTTCCATGATTTTCCTCACTGCCCTTCTCAGCAGAGATCAAGTGCAAAGCCACTGGAGACCACTTGGTCCCCCAGGGACGAGCATCCCAGGGCCTGCCCAGGGCTGTGGGGGAGGCTCTCACTGCCGCTGCTGCCTCGCTGCTGACTTCTCAGCACAGAGGCATTCAGCAGGCACTACAGCCTCTTTTTTTGGCCTTGCCTTTTTTGGTTTCTTATGACGCAAGGTCAGAACCGCTCCCCTGGGTCAGGAAAAAGGTGAGCGAGACACTACCGCTTGGCCCTAGCACCAGGAGAGGACATTGTCCACGGGGCCAAGACCTGCTGCTCCCCACGTCTCTGCCCAGCGAGTTAAATCTCTCCTGCCCTATGCATGACACCATTTGTTTCCTTGTTTGCCCTCCTGCAAGCCAGGGGAACATCAACAAATTTGCTGACAGCGGAATCTCACGGCCACATTTTTCACCTGTGCCAAATTCAGCCTTGGGGCAATGTTCCTGGGACACCCTTGTCAGCGAGAGGTGGCTCCTGCTTAAAGCACTGGTCTCTGCTGTTGGCCTTCACTGGCTTAGACTTAGACAACAGTTACGTTAGAGCCTTTTGACTTCCCAGTGAAAGGAGACTTCTAATGAATAGCACTTGATTTTTTTTCAGAAATACTTTTAAAGGGAGAGAGAGGAAAGCGGTGGAGGCTCAACAAAGCCATAGTGAGGCCTGTCTAATCTGCGCTGCGTTTCTGGCTGGAAGTACATTACCGCTCGTGCAATTTGTAGCAGTGTTAAAACAGTACAAGATCTGCCTTTTTTTTTTTTTTCTTTTTAAATTCAATTCCAAACAAGTGCAGATTAAGCAGGCCTGACTATAGTGCCTTGGTCTCTCTAATGCCTGCCTGGTCTCTGCCTCTGCAGTGCTCTGCTCCCGGGGCCGGTCTCCAGCCGTGCCGCAGCACTTTGCCGGCAAACGGCCAGCAAGTGGGCTGGGATTGTGGCAGTCCTAATTAGCTCTTAATAGCAGCCACAAGTGCTTCACTTTTGCAAAACACCCTTCAGAGCAGTAGAGTTTCAAATTAAATACCATTTTAGATTATTTATATTCAGTCGAGGGGATGCCAAGAACATTTTCTTTCATGTGGACTTTTCTCTTTATATTTCAACACTTAGTTTCAAAGGAAAATCAAAGCTAGCACAGGGCTTAGGGCACTTGGTATTAGACAGTGCCACAGTGCAAGGACAGTTTCACTGGCCAAAGCATACAGAATTGCAGCAAGTTTTGAGCAGAGCAGTTTTACATCTGTCTCATCAATTGCACAGATTAGCTGCAAATGCCATGTGGTAGCAGTTTTCCCTCAGGGAGGATCTACTGTATCCACTGAAGTAGGGGGAAAAAAAGCAAAGGCCCCTCAAATTTTGAAACATTCACCAATTTTTTTGGTATCTTCTGTCGTATAAAATCTTAGTTGTGTTTCACTTAAATAAAATTAGTTGCTCAGTTGTTGGCTAATTTGTATTTATTTCTGTTCAAGTATTTTCAGTGACTTAAAGTTTTCTTTAGTTTGAAAAAAAGTCTTCTTTTTTTTACCTCTCTCTCTTCCTTCTTTTTCCATCTTTCTTGTTGGAAAGGAAAAGTGGGAGGTAGGAAGAGCAGTGTTAGAGATTTTTCTGTATAGATCAGAGATAAGATTTCTGTCCCTGCACTGCAGCAGTTTTAAAAATATTCTTTTTCCTGTTGAAAATGAGTTGAGTCCACTTCAAAATCCTGGAAAATGCCAGTTTTTAAGGCTCCTTAAAACAAACAAGCAGACGAGCCAGGCAGTCCTGGTTTTAATCTGAATTTAAATCTGCCCTCTAAACTTTTTGTCAGCTTCACCAAATTTCTACAGCCACTTTGAGAGCCTGCCATAAATGCTGGATTGCCAGTGTTCCTGTCTCCCGCTTGGAGAGGGCTCTTTCTCTCTCCACAAAAGCTCTCATAAGCCATAGCTAAGAGCACCTGGCTCCAGGTGAGAGCACCCTTGGAGATCAGCATGCGAGAGCACTGTGACTGTGCTCGCTGTGTGGGTACGAGTGAGATGCCATCTGGTCCATGGCACAGACAGGTCCCAGCTAGTGATGAGCCCTCGCAGGTTCCCAGAGCAGAGAAGCCGGGCGCTTAGTCCCAGCCCCGCTGGTGCTCCCAGACTGTTGCACTTGGGGCTGATGTTGGTCATAGCGTCACCGTGGCAGGTCTGCCTAGGCTGGCCCAATAGGGGCAGATGATGTGACAGCATGGGGAAGCCATTTTACACACCAGCATTTTCTAACAGCAGGAGGCACTTTTTTTTAGGGACCACAGCTGATACAGCTAGGAGTAGCCTGATATGTCAGTGCAGCAGTGAGGGTTTGCAGAAGTGAAGGAGCAGACTCCTAGAGTGCAAACCCTGCTCTAGAAAAGCCATGCTGGGTTTGGAGGTCGCATAGAGAGGGAGGCAGTGGTTGCATTAGCAAAGATCCTGGGGAATGTTTGGAACAGAGTCCCTTCCCTGCATGCAAAAGAGTTTCATCATCCTCATCTTCATCGTGACCATGTGGGCTAGCAGTGGGATTCTGCCATTCTCCTGGGTCACCCCTTTTCCCCCTGGCCCCAGTACTGTCCTGTGTCCGAGCAGGGCAGGTGTAGGACCACCTCCATTATTGGCATGTTTGAGACAGATGTTAAAACTGGTGATCTGTTAGCAATGGCCTCGGGGGTTTGCCTGTGGTTTCTGCTGTAGTCATGCGTGCTTCGATTTCAGATAAAAGAGCCAAACTGTTTCACTTCTGGTATTTCCAGCCGCGTTTGGATTTATCTGAACGGAACCAGGCATTCCTGCATTTGAGTGTGGCTACCTTTACTAAAGAGCTGGTACTTACTATTTTTCTTCCCTTCCCTTCCCCCTTTCCTATTTTCTCTTTCTCTAGGTCCAGGCCTGGCCTTCATTGCCTACCCAAAAGCTGTGTCCATGATGCCGCTGCCCACCTTTTGGGCAATCCTTTTTTTTATTATGCTTCTGTTGCTTGGACTGGATAGCCAGGTTAGTATGATGGGTAAGAGATATATGGCTTACTGTCTCAGGGCTGCTGAGAAAAGCTGTTTTTACAGGCATGGGTTGAGAAGAGAATACTTCTAATGCTGCTTAAGAGGAATTCATCTGGGTTGCTTTTTAGTGCAGGGGCTGCATTTGATGAATCAGTGACTGTCAATTCATAGTATAATGTTGCTCAATAAGTCATTATCATCAGGACTTAATGGAGTCCAAAAGACTGCACTACTCTGCACTACTCCCTAACCTAAATATCAGGCCAAGTCTGGCCACAAAATGCCACTGTTTTGTTCATGGTGCAGAGTTTTCCTACTTTAGAGAAGAGCTTAATCATTTGAAAACACAAAAGCCTACAGCAATCTGTTCCACAGAGTAGTTTGTGCCATTGTGATCACCTGCAGTGTGCATACATCATCATTAAAACACTTTGTAAGAATTACTAACTACTAGGAATACAGGCATTGATAGTCGCTAAGTGCCAAAAAAAGAAAAGAAAAGCCATCATGAAGCACAAAAAGCACAAAATGTTTTGTACAGTGTAGCCAGCGTGGCTTCGTGAACAGTCAGAGGACAAAGCCACAGCCTTTTTCGGTGTCCTTAGGCTCAGAGCTGCTGAGCAATGTGGGATCCTGCTGACTTTCACGTCACCAGCACATATTCAGTACCTCCAAACGGGCCAGAGAGCGTCTCAGGTTCCAGCTGTGCTAATTATATAGCACATGCTGCTATTAATTAGTGAGCATAAAAAATCAAAAAGTTCAGCCCAAGAAGTTAGGTTATTTTTCCCCGTGGTTGCTTATTGGAACGTTGGACTAAATTCTTCAAAAAAACCTGTAAATCATTTCTAGGTAGTCCACTTCCAAGGAAATATGGGTGACCAGGGATTATGCAGTAACTACACATTTAAAATTGCCAGTTTTCAGGGCAACGGGCAGCTTTCTGCACTCAAATGAAAAGTCACTAAGATTATAAAAACCCAGTTGGTAAGGATGAAATGTTCATTTAGGCTAAATGCTCTCTTGTATGAGGAGAGATCTGTAAATGGGTTTTTACCTAGTTGTTGTGTACTTAATCTCTTACATTTTTGATATTCCATTTACCCTGAATTGCTCTTTACGGCTTAATCTTTGAACTCTAGTGAGCAACTTTCAATCGTTCCAAAGTAAATGTAAAAGTGCTCAATGCTGTGGTTCAGCAACCCTGTGCTTATGCAAATTGTAAGCTGTCTAGTAATTTTAAAAAGCTCCTCACTGCGTAGAATGATTAAAACTAATTGGAGCGCTTAATTTCTCTCCTCCACCCCTCTGGTTTTTTGGAGTGCAGTCAAGCAGGTTTCTGGAATGCCGGAGCAGTTTAAGATCAAATCAGCCCAAAGGAAAGGGTTGCATTTAAAAATGAAAACCAGTTTTACATAAGTCAAACAGGAGGCAACAAAATCTGGTGGAGTGTTTGCGGGACAGGGCTGTATTTCCGAAATGGAGCTTCTGCTTATGGTCCAAGAGGGTAGAATTGTTACAAGGCGTTTCTGGGCACTGAAAGAGCAATATAGATACTGGGTAGGAAAAGGTGGCTTTTCTTGAGATGATGCTATTTCAAAGACTCCCTCTGATAAACCATTGGTTGTAAGATAATGTATCGATTAAAGTGAAGATCATTTCTATGGAGGCAGCTTTAGTTCTCCGTGGTATCCTCATGTCTTCAGTGCACTTGGTGCTTTTGTAACTTGCCAGGCTGGAAATGCAGTCAGCTGAATGATCCCTTCTTTGGGTTTGTGTGGGGGAAGTTCAGTAGTCACGTTTCTTCATGGGTGAAATGCATCTGGTTTTCAATTAACTTTAAACTTCTATTCAAATCCAGTTTGGGTTATTTGGTTAACTCAAGTTACACATCTTACATGTAGTTTTCCAATGGCAAATAAGTACAAATACAGTTACCATGAAGCTAGAAGAAGTAAGATTTTTAGCTCATCTCTTCAGATCTTCCTTTTTCATTACAAGTGCAAGTATTCCACCAAATCTTTGCCTGAGGACTGTATGAATAGCTGCATTGTTGCTGCAGAAGTACCCCAGAGCCTCAGTCAGAGGTACTTTGCTCACAGGTTCAGAAAATACAAGTTCAGTCAAGAAGTGCCACTGTTTCACTTCAAAGACTGCTTTCCCTTGGCTGGATTTTCACTAGTGAACCCAAGAGTAGAATTATATCCAATTGTGGAATTAGCCTAACTATTACCTGTGAGGTTTTCTGGCACATCAAAAAAAGGCTGGAAGGTACTCTCCTAGCTTAGGCTTTTTTGAGTGTTTTCTCTCTGCCTCTTTTCTAGCATATGTCTTGTGGAACAGCTGGAACAGCTACAACATAAAAGCCACATAAGTACCTTCCTGTCATCAAATTAAGTTCCTTTATCCTTGCGGCTTGCATTTACAGAGCCCCTTTGGTAGTTCGTAAGGCTGCTCGGAAATGAACAGCAGTTCTGAAAGCTTGTTCCAACCTGAAAACTTCAACCTTGGGGTTACAAAGGAACGGCTTCTGATTTATTTATTCAGAGCAGCGTTTTGCCACAGAGTACAGTTAGGGTCTTGCTGTGGAGCCTTTGTTCAAGTATGAGCCTGGATAAAACACATGGTAGATAATTTTCAAGTCACGTTTCTTTGTTGTTGTTTTTCCCCTTTAGTTTGTTGAAGTTGAAGGACAGATCACGTCATTAGTTGATCTGCACCCATCCTTCCTAAGGAAGGGTTACCGACGGGAAATCTTCATCGCTATAGTATGTTTCCTTAGCTATCTTCTGGGACTAACTATGGTGACTGAGGTAAGTAGCACTGGTGCTGGAAATGGGCTTCCTTTTTCACCAGTTTTTAGACCAATTTTAGCTATGAATGAAACTGCATGGAATTAGCCACTCAGAGGGATGTTGCTCTTTAGATCTACAGAGCATCTTTCATCCCAAGATCTGAAAGCATTTTGAAAGGGAGCTATATATTCCCCCCTTTTCAGTCAGAGGAACAGAGAAATGAAATCTCATTAAATTCAATCTGATCCCAGGTACTCATCAACATGAGTACGAATATTAACATCTGGCTCTAAATGATGAAACACATTGGGAGCCTTCAGCAGGGCAGATTAAGAATCCATCCAGTGCATGCAGGGAAACAGATTTTTATCTTAGTTGCATAGATTTGAATCAATTAAATACCCCTAGATTTATTCTAGTGTAAACAAGATGGGAATATGTTCCAGTGGCTGCACTGCTGTGATATTTATCTCCAAAATAAAATCCAAGCCAGATTTTAAAAACAACAGGAAGAACACGATTGTAGGAATTAAAGTAGCAGAGGTGAAAACCTCAGTTTTTCAAGTAAACGTGCAGATATGTACAGTTCAGTGTAGTGAGAGCAAAGAGTCTAACAATGTAGTATTCTCATTAAAAGTCTTTCTACTAAATCCATAAATGAAGACCCTCCAGATGAACTGACTTCCATGTGTTAATGTTAGGATGTGTTAATGTTAGGAGGCAACCAATTATTTATTTACGTCTTTTCTTTCTATAAATGCCCATCCTAAAATACTTCTAAGAAGGAAAGATTTAAGTGTCTCAGTAGATTATACTAAGTGGCTTAATTTTGTTTAATCGTCGTCTTGTTTGGAATGCTTCCTGTAGTAAACATGCATATTCCCTGGGGAAGGTAATGCCAAATATTTACCTTTGCTACTTGCTTGATATTTCTTCTTGTTAGACAGCAATCATTAAGGTATGTCGTTAGATTTTACTTGGGGCTGGGCCTGAAGTATTCTGTGGTTTTTTTTCCTGCTGGATCCTAATCCGTTGTGTCTCTCTTTTACAGGGTGGCATGTATGTTTTTCAACTCTTTGACTACTATGCAGCTAGTGGTGTATGCCTTTTGTGGGTTGCATTCTTTGAATGTATTGCTGTAGCCTGGGTTTATGGTAAGTGAGAATCCTTTGATCTGATACCTTTTGATGAGTCAGTGACAATTTTCCTAGCCAAACATTTAATCATCAGCCACTCCAGAATCTTCTTCCCAGCAACAGACACATGCCATTAATATAAATTTGCACTGACCTCTTGGAGACAAATTTGCATCTGGGATGAAGCCAGCCTCCAGTGTTTTTCCACACAAAAATGAGTATTTTTCCAGTACTAATTAATAAAGGCACAATTAAGCATTTACATGTGTTAAGTTTAGAGATGAGAGTTGAAAGTTTGGCCAGCCGTGAAAATTTCTGTTTGTCTCTCAGAGAGTTTCCTTTCAAAGCTGCAATGTCTGCAAGGGGCAAGCCAACCAAATAGGAAATACATGGAGAAAGCTGACAGAAAAGTGTATTCTGTCCCATTATTTTTAGGCAATGTTGAGTATCAAGGTCTGACAGTAGCCTCTGTAGCTGGCTGAGATGGTAGGTGAGGAATGATCAGAGCTGTTTGCTCCTTAGGACTGGCCTTTTCCCTGATTCTTCATATACTCCAACTCTTTCAGAAAGCAAAACAAAGCCTTCATTTTGCATCTGTCCAATTTCGGTAGAATCAGGGTGTACTTTTTGCTGTTGTGTCCTTTCCATGTGCTCCCCCTGGCAAGTACAATGATAGTGTGGGGAGAGGAGTGGATGCGTGATGGGGGGCAGGAGGGATTAGCGTTGCACTCCTGCATCCAAATAATGAGGGCTGTGTAGGATGAGACAATCCCCCAACTTCTGAGCTTCTCAAGGAGAAAATTGTCTTAAACTTCACAGCCATGGGAAGTGACACCCCTTTAAATATGCCTTGGGGGAGGGTGGGGAGGAAAGCAGCTGTAATCCTACAGTCCTGACATGGCTTTTCTATGCTCAGTTTTGATGAATGTGCTCACTATCTGTTACAGGCGCTGATAATATTTATGATGCCATTGAGGATATGATTGGATACAGACCTGGTCCCTGGATGAAATGGAGCTGGATTGTGATCACACCAGTTCTTTGCGTGGTGAGTACTGACCCGGGCTCTTTCAAGTCTTCCACTTGGTAGCTCTGAGCCGCCTCTTACCGCTTCTCTTCAAGTGACGGCTGTTACACTCAGAGACCAATTTGCAAAGAAATGCTGGAGACTTGAACATACCCCTCAAAGACACCATTTCAGATGTTAGCTGTTAACGTGACAGCTCTCTGCTGCGCCTACGCAAAGTGCAGTTAGCTACATTTAAGTGGGTTTTTCTTAGACTTGACAAAACGTTACATTCATGACACAGAAAATTCCCTCTCCAAAGGGCAGTCCCTACTTTAAGTGGTAGGACTGCTAGGCCAGACTTGAGCATCCTGAGGCAGGCACTCAGCTTGAAGTATTTCATTGTCTGGAATGAGAGGAGGAAGAACATCAGAAAAGAAAATTGGAAGAACATCCCAGTAAGCTCCTTGCAATGTACAGCAAATATTTGAGCCCTGTAAAAGAACAGGCAGCATACTGCAGCTGTTCAGCACCGTTGCTTAACACCCTGTTGTCAAGCAACAGTTTACCTGCTCTTTCAATGTCTTAAATGGAAGAATGATTCCCCCAGTTGGTTTAAAATACATATGGTATCCATCAGCTCTGCCTTTCACTGCCTGTCTTCCTTAGGGCCAGTGGTAGAACCAGAGCTGTGCTGCTTTCAGCATATTTGAGCCTCACTTTGTTTTCATTTCTCATCCACAGGGGTGCTTTATCTTTTCTTTGGCCAAGTACAAACCACTGACCTACAACAAGGTCTACACATACCCAGACTGGGCGATTGGCCTGGGCTGGGTTCTTGCCCTTTCCTCCATGATCTGCATCCCTATGGTGATGGTCATCCGCATCATACAGTCAGATGGGTCGCTTATTGAGGTAAGAAAAACCTTTTGTCTGCCTAGAGGAGAAAGGGAGCTTTAACTTGCTGTGTTTTATACAAAATAAGCACAATGCTTGGAAAACTGCCACCTTGTCCAGGTAGGGCAAAGTTGGGTGCCTTTTCTGCAGTGCATGCAAATAAGGCTGTTAAAGATCACCTGTCCTTTGGACAAGCAGTAGAAACAGAACAATCATGAAGCCTTCCATCCTCAGACAAACACCAGGTGATTTTACTTCTGTCCCACTTTGAAGTTTCCAGCTTGGCAGATTGTTGCCTCCACATGCAGACAAGTGCTCAAGGACTGGAGTGCTTCTGAGTGCCAGAGCTCTCTTCTCCAGCCCACAGGGACAAGGAAGCACCATCCTACAAATAACCAAGAAAACAAGATAGAGAGAGACCTGGCTCAAATCCAGCTGTTCAAGAGCTCATTGAATTTCAGTGAAATCCAGATCCCACTTGCACTGTGTGGCTCTTGGGCAGGGCCTTCACTCTGAGGGACTGTAGAAAAGTCAAACCCTCCTGCCAGTGGCCTTCGCTTTTTAGCAGTTTAATATTATTATGTTTATTCCTAGTGAATCAAGTCAAAACACTGGATCCAGATTGCCCTGATCTTTAGAAAACTTTGGTTCAGGTTCAGACTTGACAGTGCAGATTCACTTGGGTTTGGATTTGCATGAAATCTCTTGCCCTTTGCACTTCAGCATAGCTTCCCCTCATTTGTTTTCCTTCCAGTGGAAAGTTTTTAGAGACTGGGCAAGCATGAAACTTAGCAATTATCTTCTAAGGTTTCAGTTTAGTTTTGTTTTTGCCTAATGAGACGGTCTTAAATGCAGCCCAGGGTATTCTTGGAGGAGAAAGTGGGACACTTCGGGTTAGGAAAAAAGAGAGAATAGAATAAAAAAAAGAACATTTCCCAGAGCACAAACGCTTGCATTTGTTTTCCTCCAAGTGTTAATGGTCTTTTTCAGCTGTGTCCAGGGCATTTTCATGAGTGTTTATTTTCCTGCCTACATTGTCACCATCTATTGAGAGACAAGTCTAAAAGTAGCCAAAACACTCCTCAAAGGCCATTTTAGGAAAAGGAAAGAGAGTAAACACTGGTCAGATGCCATTTAGTTCTTCCTTTGTGAACTGAGATGTAGGAGAGAAGTTGCCACTTGGCAATGAACGGCTTGGGCTAAAAGGCAGGGTTGTTTCTAAATGAGGAGGGAGAACACACGTCATTTGAGCAGCAGCTGCAGCGCTGACAGCCCAGCGTGCAGGATGCTGGATAACGCCGTGAATGCCCTCTCATGTCTGACTTGCTTGCGTCAGGCCGGGCTCTGCAGCTGAGAAAAAGTTGAACAGGGTGCTCCGCAGCCCGGGTCCCCGTGCCCTTGGAGTGCCAGGTGGCACACACGTGTCTCTTCGGGCCGCTGTCCCCATCCTCGGGTTTCCACGTCCTCCATCCTGCACGTGGCCACGCAGGGGCCGCTTGGGCTTCTCACCTTCGCTTTTCTTCTTTTTTTTTTTCAGAGGATAAAAGCGGTGGCTGCCCCCAAGGAAGTGAATCGATGGTCCAAAGAAACGGAGAGTGGCACCCCCTTCTGCCCCAATGGAACTTCGAATGGCGGATTGATCAAGCCAACTCATATCATTGTGGAAACCATGATGTGAGCTCTCTCTGTGAGAGGATAAACCTGCTTTAACTGCCGTTTACTAACCATAGATTCTCATAGGACCAGGTTTACAGAGCTTTATATTTGCACTAGGATTTATTTTTATTTCTCACAGAGAAAGTTATTTTTTGTGTGTGTTTTTTTTTTAATATTTTGTAAGGTAATCACAGCAGATGTCTCTCTGTAGAGGGAGAGCTTTCATATCAGACTAGACATATTACAGGAATTTACTATTATTGGGTTTTTTTAAATATATATATCTTTATCTCTAAATACTATACACCTTACCACTTGAATTGATTGTCTTGCCAGCAATATATTCAAGTCTCAGAAAGCAATTTTAGGTGCTGGTATGGTTGGGAGCAGGGTGACCTACAGAACACACAAAAGGAGCTCTGTGGAGAGATACGATTAAAAAAAAAAAAAGATGCTGTTTCAAGAGAATTTTCAAAGGTGTAGTATTTCCACCCTCTGGTTCAATTGTGGTAAACGACAGGCTTCAGGGTCACATTAGGGAAAGGGTACAGTTATGTTTAGCACAGCCCCTGAATGAGGATACAGCCGGGCAGCTGGAGCAGAGAGTTTGCGAGGGAGGCAGAGAAGCTGGGTGAGGAAAGCCTTGTGGCTGTCCCTCCCCAGCACGGCGTTGGGACCCTGTCACACTGAGGAGAGGAGGATTTTAGGAAGGCGTTTGCAGGATTTGGCATGGTTCACTCTTTCTTTTTTTTTAACTTTTTTTTTTTTTTTTAAGGTTTTGGGTATTTTTTTTTTACTTAAGTGAAATGCCTACTGTTTGTGCATGAGCAGGGAGGTTGAGCACCTGCTCCTGAGTTTTCCAGCAAAACATGTTTTAATGTGGTGGCACTGGTGTAAGCTTGAATTCTGCAAATGGGGAGGGGCAGCCTGTCCCTGGGGCAAGGGAGCTGAGAGGGGAAAAGCAGCAGCTGCCCACAGCTCTTGGGGCTTCTGAGGTGGGCTTGCTTATTTGTTTGCCTGCTGACTATTGGACTGAGATTTTGGGCAGAGAAATAAAAGAATCCCTTGTGGACTCTGACTATCCAAAGGTGAACACAAACCAGGTCATCCCCGACAGGAGGAACAAAACCACTCACCTACACCTGGTGTAACAAGTAATTACAACAGACAAGTTGTTAATAATAATAGCAATGACGATAATAATATCACTCAGCGAACAGGTGCTTTTCAGCCATGTATCTCAAAAATGCTTTGCCAAGTTCGGTAACCAGGATTTGCTTTATTTATTTATTTGGGGGGAGGAGGGAGGTGGTTACTGTTGAGGGAACAGACAAGAGGATTATTTCCCTTGTCCCAGCAGCAGTGGACCTAAGGCCCCCAGTCTCCTTGCCCGTCATTTGGTTAAACCATAATTTTTATTTTTTTTTTAGGGGAAATAGAGGGTGGCAGACATATTTATGAGGCTTATGAATCTTATCTGCTGAAGAACCAGGGCTTTTGGAATTTTAAGTTAAACCAAAGGGAACATGTAACACTGAGATGTTTTGTGTTTGGTCAGAAGGAATCATGTACCGTTCCAGGTTAGACTGGGGAGTAAAAGAAACCACTACAAGGAGAGTAGTCATGGGGGTTCCACTTCGTGTGAGCCGGGTGGATGTTTCCATGGGGAATTGCTCCATTAAGACTGTTCAAAACATGGGCAAAAGCCTTTTCTTTTTCTTATTTTTTTCCTTTAAAAAAATAAACTTGAGCAGGTTGTGCTGGGAACAGGTTCTCTGGCAAAACTCAGCCTTTTCTTTTGGGCATTGTATTAGAGGGAGAGGGTTTTTTCTTCTTACGATACTGCAGTTAGGCTATCCAAAGGAATTTAGAGGAAAAGCTTAATAGAAAGCAGAGTTTATATCTGCTTATTCTGCTGTCAGGGCAGAGTTTGTCATTTAAAAAGGAACATATCCAATTCTTAACATTCCTACACAGTAGTTTTATTTTAATTTTTTTCTTGTCCCATGGGCTAACTGGCCACAGCAGCACAAACACTTGTTGATTAGCTTGTTGGTTTTCCTGTAACAGAAAAGGGGTGATTTAAAACTGAGATGGACCAAAATAATTTTAAAAACGAAAAAGTGGCTGCATCTATAACTTTCAAAATCTTTCTAGTTTGAATTTGTACACATTTTTACATCAGATGGCAGAGTTGCAGCAACAAAACCAGCCACTGCAGAATTGCTTTTGTTTTCTTTTTCTGGTTGCTCTATTATGAGAGTTATAAATGAAACTTTTCCACAGCTGGAGATGGGAAACATCTAATGACACCTGCTGGGACAGTGGCAATAGCCATCTGAAGGTCACTGGAAGAACTCTGTGAGCCTGTGGGTGTCATCAAATGTGCCTAAAATAAACATGAATACAGCTAATTTATTTTTTTTTTTTTAAATAGCCTTTAACCATAAAAGGCAAGGAAATGTAATCAAAGATAACTCTCTTAGCAGGCTTCAGCTTGGACCCTCGTTTTTGAGTTACAATTAGTGTCTGCAGTAAACAGGCACATTTGCCTGGGTGAAGAGGGAGTAGCAGGTTGGGGGGGTCTAAATTAATGGTTTCTGTGAGTGCAGATGAAACACTGATGCTTGGGTTATTTTTTTTTTATTGTATACATTGTCATACAACAGCGTTTGAGATATAGTTTGCACGTCACTTTCGTGCTATAGAGCTGAGACAAGCTTTAGTTAGGGATAAAAATGGTTTGGCTACATCAGAGATGTCTCCAGCAAGTCAGATGGGTATTTAGCCATCTCCCACGTTGTGGAGAGCATCTTTGCGTGAAGAACCAGAGGGTTAATACTACACCTTTTAAAGTACAACTACTAGAGAAATAGAACCCAGCCCCATTTCGATATATGAACTGTGCCATTCAAATCAGTCGCTTCCATGTACCAAGTGAAAATGTCTCGCACATATGCAACAACCTCATTGAAGCGTTCTCTATGTCAACTCCTCTGGCCCTGCTGTGCTCTTCAGCGTGACTGCGAGGGAGGGCTGGGGCTCACGAAGAGCTAAGAAATTATTGTTTCTGGAAAGCAGTTCCCTTCTCCCCCCCTTCCCTCCCTTCCAAAAAATATATATAATTAATTCTTCTTGTTTTAGCTGGGGTTTGAGTTCCAATGAGCACACTCACATTTTTACAGTTTTGGGGGATTTTTTCCTAACACTTTTACCAGATTTCTGAAATTTTCTTGGTGATAAATTTGCATTTCAATATGATCCTCTGCCAAATTTATTAAAAAATAATTTTTTAAAAAGTCTGTGTTTTCTACCTATTTCTGACTGCAAATACAACTGATTTTTTTTTCCTAGTTTCATTGTTTTAACACTTGTGACCTATTTTACCTGTTTTATGTAAATGAGGAACTCTATATTAAAATATCATGACTAGTTATAGATGAACTGGTTTGGATCCTGGAAAAAGTTAGTGCAGTTTTGCCATGAGATCTTTAGAACCAGATCCCTGATTTAAAAACCAGGATAAAACGAGACAAAACCCACCCACACCTTTTCGTATTTCATGTACCTTTGTATTCATGGGTTCTTCTGCGCTTGAAACCGGCAGAATTTCAGCAGTATTTAGTTCCAGCTGAACTGAAATCAAGAGATCGTAGAAATGTAAAGGGGAACATTTACCCCACAAGATTCTCTGACCTGTTTCTTGTTTTTCTCGATTTTCCAAACTTTTTCAGTTCACCTGTCACTAGTTATGATCTCACTGAATGGGCATCTATTGTAAGGGACTTTACCAGTAGTCTGTATTGCGGTATTTGAACAGTATGATTTCATAAATAGAACTGGTTTTTATTGTTGTTGTTGTTATCGTTCTCATTTTCCTTCTCATCCATAGCTTTCCTTTTTGTCTGGTCCAAACAGATCCACAAACTTAGAAAAGTCCTTTTTAAAGTGTGAGATAGTAGGTCCACAACGGATTTGTTCTTGTGTTGTAAATGAAAATCCAAACGCCTAGCAGCTGCGTTTGCCATCTAGAACAACGCTGGTGGTCACCCTGCAGCAGCAGTGCGGCTCCCGGAGCGGAGGGGAGTTAGGAATGGTCTGCTGAAACAGCTCAGCAAAACTGATTTTCGCTGCTGTTCTTGGGGAGAGGAGGAAAAAGAAAAAAAAAAAAAAAAGAAAAAAAAAAAGGTGCAGCCTTACAGTTGCTGTAAGACAAAAAACCACCCCAACAACCATCACCGTCAGGATGGCATCTTCTGCAGCTGTTCTCAGTCCTTTGTGTATCTTCCTTTCTCAACTGCAGATACTCTTGGTTCCTCTTCTCTGTCTCAGCGTTAGACAAGTCAAGTAGATCTGAAGACACATGGACATTTCCATTCGATAGGCCTTTTACAAGTCTCCTCCCGGTCTGCTTTTATTTGCTAAGGAGACTTACAGTTTCGGTGAGGTTGTGCTTGTCACACTTGGGTTCAAAGCTCCCACTTGTTGCATCAATGTCAAAACTCCATCTGTGGGAGAAGGATTTGAACGTTTTTTGAATAACTGATTATTAGCTTCCATGTCTTGTGGTCACTGCAGGATCACTCATGGAGGCATAATGTATATAAAATGTTAATAAGCTGTGTATTGAATGGAGTGGACAAGTTAGTTAAGCAGCTCAAATACACTTGGAAGAAAGATGACCTTGACATCATTTCCAGGAGATTCAATGCAAGTTGCTCACTTTCAGTAAAAAAAAAAAAAATAAATAAATAGATCTGTGTTTAAATAGACTAATAGATGAAATCTTTCACCCTCATATGCATGCACACAACATTGTGAGGACATTGCTTCTATTCCTCGGCTGTGAATCGTGTGTGTTAAGTATTGTGGGGCTGTTTAGGATGAGGCGTGAGAAGGCTGTTCGTAAATTGTGGGTGGTTAAAGAGGGAATGTTATGACAAAATCCTGGACTGTGGCCTCTCCAAGGAAGCCTTGAGGTTGAACTTGAAAACTCTCCTGGCGCCTTGTAAGCACCACGTGGCTCCTGGTATGGGAGGTTGGGTGTGGCGAGGCTTCAGGCAGCTGCCTTGGACTTGTTTTCTCCAAAATCAGCATCCAAAGCCTTGTGGTTAGCCCTGACGTGTATTTGTGTATTTGTATATTTGCATGAACAAAGGTCAGGAACCATCAGCCCCAGTAGCTCAATTTACTTCTTATAGTTCAAGATAAGCTTAAGACAGTAAGCATTCAGTTAACACTTGAAAGCCCCAAAACCCCTTTGAAATAGTGCAAAAAAAAAAAAAAAAAAATCCCCTGAGCTCCATACTTTAGTCACAAAAATTTTCTGTCAATCAGTATCAATGGTCAATTTGAGTTTACAAGAAAGCTTGAACAAAAAAGAGTTGTACGTAAGCAGCACTAGCCCCAGCTGGAAAACTGCCCGTTCCAGTCCTGCATCCTCCACTGAATCATGGCTTTTTCTGCCTGCCCAAAATAAATCTGTACATGGACAATGCTTCTCTGCTTAAAAAACAAACAAACAAAAAAAAAAAGGTGAATTTGTTTGTTTCTAGTAAAAAATAAACAGAAAGAGTAAATTTTTCGTGTGATTTTTTCCAATTGTCATTGTGAACAGGTGATTTCAATTTACTAAAGAGCAGGAAAAGCATCAGACACCATTTGACACAAAAAAAATAACAAAAAGAGGCAGGCTTGAAATTTTACAGACTGAAAGTCTTAACTAAGCACACACCTCCCATCCCCCAAAAGGAGGAAAACTTTAGTGACAGGGCTTGTCACTGGAAAAGGTCCTGGCCTTGCTGGACTGGCAACACAGATACGGCCTTTTTGTATCGCTGCTGTGTCTTAATTTGGAATAATCAGTAACAGTGTCATAATTGAATCCCCACAAGCTTTACACAGCCCTGAGCTTTAGGGGTAAAGCAAATTAAAGGCATTTTTAGAAAGGAGCGAGTTTCTGGAGTTTTCCTCCCTGGGGTTTGGGTCTGTGGTGACCAGCAGGACAGTGCTGCTCGCAGTCACATTTGCAACACAGAGAGAACATGGCCCAACTAGAAAAATTGGAATAAATAATGGGGGAAAATACAGTTTTAAAAGCGAGTCTTGATTACGCTAAGGAACTGTGCATGTGTGCTTTTGTGTGCCTGCATATGTGGGGAAGGCTTTGGTCCTGTAGCGTAGTACATGTTAGCATGCTACATATTTTTCTAAATCTGCTTCTGCAGTTGAGATGTTAAAAAGATTTGATTATTTTTTTCAATATATAAAGAAAAAAAAAATGAGAACAGTGGCAAAATCATGTTGAGAGGCTGAAAAATAAATAAAAAAAAAATCCTGAGGGGGCAAGTTGAGTTAGTTTGTCATCTGCTCCTGTCCTGGAAGCCAGCGATGGTCTCTCAGCATTGCAGCATCCCAGTACTGTTCCGAAGTGCTCGTTGTTCAATAGGATGTTGTTTTTTTCTCCAGTGTAATGTTGTGATTGTTACCTGATGACGTTGCCAGGGACTTCACGTTATAAGAGGTGGTCCATCTTGTTTGATGTATTTGGCTAAAAAAACAGTGGTGGTTTTTTTTATTATTTAAATTCCTATCAACTGTGACTACAGTAATGTGATGAGTAGCACATACAGCGAGGAGGCGGTGTCGACAATGGCCTCCTTAAAAATGTCATCTGAACTTTTTTTAAAAAAAAATCTTAAAAATATTTTTAAAACATTTTAAAACATTTTTTGTGTGTTCAAAATATTTGTATTTGGAAAAAATCCTGGAGTGTAATTTAATCCTAAAACCCTAGCCTTTGTGTATATGGTAAATGTTTGTATTTTGCAGTTTCTGTTTTGCTTTTTAGATAAATAAAATGTATATGGATATTTTTAAGTCATCTTTGCTTTTTTAGATGAGTTTGTAATCACCTTATAACTGAAAATAAAACTTTCCTTTATAAACCAGCTATGCTTTCCGGTGCTTTTTTTGGTCTTTGAGTAGCTCCATTCTTCCTTTAATCCTATTATTTATTCTGGGGTTGTTGGTTGGGGTTTTTTTTGTCCTTATAAAATATTCCATTTATACATATGCCCAGCTCACTAAGCTGCTTGGCCCAGCTCACTGTCTGACTTCATGTCTCTCATGGTTTCACCCTGGTCTGCAGCTCAGCCCCACGCAGCTGCTTTCTCACCCCCTCACCCACTGAGATGGGGAGAGAGCAAAAATTTATGGGCTGGGATACAGACAGTTTAATAACTAAAAAACCAGAGGAAATTAAAAAAACAACCACAAAAAAAACCAAAACAAACAAACAAACACGAGAGAAAAAGAAAACTAAGAAAACTAAACACAAGAACAAATGATGTAAAAGGAACTAATTTCTCACTATCACCCAAATGATGACCAGCCAGTCCCTGAGCAATGGCCACCCCTGCCCACCTCTACCCTCCCCGGCTGTATTTCTGCACACACCATTGCATGTCACCCGGCTGTGTCCCCTCCCAATTTCTTATACATTGCCAGCCTACTTGCTGGCAGGGCAGCGTGAGCAGCAGTAAAGCCCTTGATGCCTCTCAGCAAGAGCTAGAACATACCTGGGTCATCACCAGCTGGTTGGCTTGTTGGGCTTGCTTGTTTTCTTCAGCAATGACTTTGGCTGACCATGAAGAAGGTCAGTGTGCTCCAAACCCATGTTGGTTCAGTCTTGCCCAGCCTTACTTCACTGCTGCTGTGTTTTCCCCAGCTTGATTTTTCATCAGGTGGAGTTGGGCATGTGCTAAGTCTTACAAGGTCATGAGATGTAAAGCTGCTCTGCATTTGTGCACCAGGCTCTGGTCACAGCTGCGGCCCCAGCACCCCAGGATTAGCCCCACAGCTGCCTGTATTTGGGGAGGTTTGGGCTTGCTTGGTTATTTTGTTGCATGAGATTTGAGGAATTTTGCAGGGATTTCTCCTCCCACCAGTGAAGCCAGCAATGCCTGCACTCAGCAGCCTGATACCGGCACAGGTGTCTCAGGTTAAAATAAAATAAATAATTTAAATAGCCATTAAACACCACCAGCTGATGCCAAGGAGCTTCATGTACCTGCCCTGGGCGGCCACCACCTGCCTGTGGCTGCAGCCATCTTCCTCAGCTGAGGTCCTCAGGACACAAGGTGACACCAGAAGGAGGACACGCTGCCCACCGGTAGCGCATACCAGGGGAGCAGCACCGTGCTAACCTTTTCCCTGGTACATGCTCCAAAACCCCACCGGTCACGTTGCATGGGCACGCGTTCCACCAGCCATGGCCCCAGCCCCTCGGCTGGCTCCCTGAGGCCTTGGCAAGTCCCCGGTGCCAAAGGTGTGAAGGGCCCTGTTCTGAAGCCTGCACCCCAGGAGGGCAGCCAGAGATGGCAGATAAGCCTTGTTTACGTGGCAATCATTCCCCAGGTCTAACCAGGAGCATTTCCGTGCCATGCTCAGTCTCCGAAAATTCCTGCATTACCCACTTGCCCATGAAGGGTTGCAAAACCCAGTCACCCTTTCCTTGCCAGCGAGCAGAGATCCCTACGGCCTTATCCGGGGAGCGTCCCGGCCTGTGCTGCCCACACTGGGAGCATAGGGGTGCCCCAAACCTCTTTGTAAGAGCAAAGAGAAGAAATCCCCACAGCAGGAAGACTACGTTCTGGAGTTGCAGCCATCTCTTTGGATGTCTGGTTTCAGAGGTGGGATAATTTGGCTACCATGGTGCAGCTCCCCAAGGAGCCCTGACTAGAGCTGCAGGGTCCTGAGCGCCATTCAGGACACCTCCTGTCTCATCATCCTCCAGCAGTTTCCTAACCCATCCCCAGGGATTAACCACAGCTTTGCAAACCTGCCACGGCCACCATGTGCTTTGCTGCATCAGCATTTGGTCATGAAGTAGCCCAGGTTTAACCCAAGAGGACTTCCAGCGTGGCCAAGTGAAGCAGGAAGCAACGCTATAACCATGGATATCACCAGCTCTGATCACTAAAAGCTTCAGCAAAAGAGCCTCTATGTCCACAGAAATAGAAGCAACCCAACTCCTGCTGCCAGACAGTGACAAGGGACAACCCCAGCCCTGTACTGGCAGCCCGACAAGCAGTTCTCCCATCTCCAGCAAAACCCCTTGTGTGCACCTCCTTCGAGGTGTCTCCTACCTGGGCATCCTTAAAATAGGGCTGGAAGCAGAGTATTACATCACTGTCACTCTCCAGCAGAAAGAGACACGAACCAAAGCAAGCGCATTTCATTTGCTTTTATTTAATTAAAAAAAAAAGTCAAAGTCATTGCAATCCCATTTAAATACAGAGATTTACAAATAGGTCCAAAACAGGACTAAAATATTCTTTGAAATGCTGTACTTTTAAATATTGTGCTTTCATAGATACATAAGAAAATTAGCATATAAAAATACTTTACAAGGAATACACTCTAATATATGGATAAAAATACACATTTAAGTAACGCATTTCATCTTCATATCATTCAAAATGCATAGGAAGGGATACAAGGACCAAGTTTTTCTTCCCCTTTTTTTTTTTAAATTTTTTCTTTAAAGCCTTTAATAAAAGTCTTCATTAAAAACCCTTTGAGAAGCCCCAGCGAGCTTCCGCTGCTCAGAATATTGCATATAAAAACACTTTCGGCTGCACTGTCAATGCTCCACAGTATCAATTATGGCACGTTATCTAGTTGTGGCAGCAATGGTATGGGATATTGCATACTCAAAGAGAAAATGGCTACAACGACAAAAGAGCTGGATGGGGCCGGGCACGTGTCTGGAGGAAACACCCTGGTACGTTGAGCTATCGCAGAGGGACAGAGGTGCCAAGTGGCTCGGGGACAGACGGTGGGGGGACAAGTCCTGGCTCAGCAAAGCGACAAAACACGAGCTGTCCACCCATCCGGGACCCTATGTGCCCCATCGGGGGTGATGGAGGACCCGAAAGGGTGAGTGGGGAACGGGGGTGGTGGGCGCCGGGGCTGAGGTGTCTGAGCGAGCTCCTGTCTCTGCTGTGCCTTCCCTGGGAAAGCTATGCCAGGCTCAGTGCCACCACCGGGACACGGACATCATCATAAAGTGCTAATACCTGAAACGTGGCAGGCGGATGAGGAGACCGATGCGAACACCACAACCCCCCTTCCCCGCGGGGCTGGGGGCTCTCAGGAGGGAGGGGAGGGACCCCGGGGTGTCATGCTTGCAAAGCCACCGAAAGGCCAACAACAGGCAAAGGCGGGGGGACGGGGGGCGAGCAGCCGAACCCACATGGGCACACACACCACCCAGCCCCAGCGGGACACGGGGAACACAACCTCCATCTAACGAAGGGCTTCTCATGCCACTGCCTGACAGGAGACAACAAGGCTTTATTAACTGAAAACATCAGGGAGAGTCCCGGGATGGCTATTCTGCTATTTACTTGCGGGCACAGGCCAGGTTTGCAAGCAAGAGATCTCCACAAAGCCCAGACAGACAAGGTGGCTGGGGATTTGGGCAGGTATTCAAGGCCTTTAGCCTTGGGTAGGACCTTCTGCTCTGTAGTAACTACTCCAGCACAGGCAACCACATTGCTCCTGGGCATTGATGGTGAGATGAGGTGCTTCATCCCACCACAGGGCGAGCCAGCCCTGGCCGGGAGCGTGGATGGGGCTGGCAGGAGGCAGCTGCAAATACCAATTTTTGAAGAGGAATTGCGTCTAGCTGCTCTCAAGCACATTTTGAGAATGTCTTTTAGACAGGGCTCTCCACAGCCCTGCACTGGTGCAAGGGGCTGCGGAAATCGATTGATCAGGGGTGTTTTACGGACGGAGCTGGGCGCAACAGAAAAGGAAAAGCTCTTCAGTCTTGCTGTATGCGATAATCGAGCAACCAAGTAACATAATAGCACCATGTGTGTTTATAGGATGGCCAAGGCCTTTGGGGTGAGGAGGATGTTGGAAGCAGAACCCCATGCCCCCCTAGGGCTGGGGCACAGGGCGATGCCCTGCCATGGGGGATGGCTGTGGATGCTCCTTCCTCCCGTCGGCAGCTCGTCCCATCACTGGCGCTGCCCACGGCCCGAGATGTGCATCCAACTCCCACCTTCCCAGCAATATTTGGTGGTCTCCAGGCTCACTGAAGACCCACCTCCCCGCTTGCAGGTTATGGTACACACAGCGTTTACAAATACCAGTGCAAAAAACAGGAAAAACACCCCAAATACCACAACGGCTCAGTAGATGCCCCGGGCACCACCTGCTCTGCTCCTGCTGCTCAGAGCGTCTGGACGCTTGCCTTGATCTCGGCGCCGTGGGCCACCTGCGCCGGCAGCTCTCTGTTCCCCTCCGGGGGAGCGTTGGCAGCCGATGCCAAAGGGTTTCTGCTAATCACCAGGTCCAGCTTATCTCCAGCCTCCGAAATCAGGGGAACAGCCAGACAGCAGTCAAAGTCTCTCGTTCGGATGCGGTTTACCTGCCGGGATGGAATTTAGGACATGCCATGGGGAGGAACAACAGAAAGACCATGTTTGTTAGTCAGAAAAGGCAAAGTTGGTGCTAAACCCACACCTGTGAAAACACACAATTCTTGGGGGTCCCTGATTCTGGGTCCACAGCAGAGCAGAGCCGGGGCACCCCTGCAGGCTGAGCACATCCTTGCTTAGCTCAGAAATGATGCAGTAACTGGTAGAGGAAAGGGAGAAAAACTCTGGATCAGGTATAACCCCTGACCCCAGTGTCCAGGGTGTTATTACAAGTACCAAACACTGCAGGGCTCAAAAACAGTTCTCCAGTTCAAGCCTGCAGGAGAAAGGTTGCCATTTTCCATTATTTTTTTTGCCATCCTGGCTTTTACTGGCCTTAAATTTGTGATGCAGGGTATTCAGCGCCTAGAAAACAAATACAGCTCAGACCCTGAGGCTTCTGCCAACCATTTTCCAGTTCAGCCAGCAATAAATTTAGACTCTTTAGACTGATTCTCCTCTCCCCGTTTACATCCTTCATTTCAGAGGAGTCTGGATGCATATCACGTGGGCTCAGAAGGCAGTGGCAAATTCTCTCTGCAGGATTCAGCAGTGAAAACACTTTTACTGCACGTTTCTAGGCTGGGTCACCTGCAAGAACCACCCCAGCTCTCTCGCCTACAGCTACCAGAGCACCTGGGCTTGGTGCCACGACAGCTCCAGGATGGAGGGGGCTGGCAAACAGCACAGGGAGGGGACTCAGGGAAGGGAGAAAGGAATTTCCCACCCACCTTTGGAGCAAACATAACCCCTGGGGCCAGGCGTTGCTTTCTTCTCTGGGTGAGGGCTGGATGAGTCCATGCAACTTTTCGATCCAAAACCCTTTCCCAGCATTAATGCCTGCCCAAGGAGTTAGGCTCTGTGATGGCAGCAGTGTCCCTCTGCCCTAGCTGCTGCCCACAAAGTTGACCCCAATATTGCTCCTTACAGTGTAGTAACTAAGGGCAATTTCTAGACCACATATGGACAAGTGGAGATAAACCAGAAGCTTGCTCTGCCTTTGCTCTACACCAGCCAGGCAGTTCCAGTGCAGAAGTGCCACTAGTGCAATGCCGTGCTCCAGCTAATCCATCCAGCCGAGAGGCAGGGGGTCTGTTATAGCAGGAACGAGGTGTTTTGCTGGCCTTCAGGCACATCACCATGCCCATAATCAGCAGCACTGCGAAGCATCCCCAGTAATGCATCTCTGTAGGTCTTGATGGGAGTTGCCTGTATCAGGTCTGCAATCCCTCATTCACAACTCCGTATGTCAACGCGATGGCAATCGCTTCGTCTTCTCGTAGGTGTAAGCCGTGCAGCACAGCATGTGGAAGAAGGGTGTCGAAAGTCTCTACGCCACTCTGTTTAGGATTTTGGGCACACCTCCCAGAGCACTTGGCACTCGCGAAAAGCGACACATCCAACATTCAACAGAAAGGCAGCCCAGAGCCTAATTAGCTTCTTGTTCATTCTTGCACCATCTTTTATTTGAAGGCGAGAAGGAATAATTGTATAGCAGCCAACTGGCTAGAGACCATAACAAGCTTAAACAAGGCTCCTCACAGCGCTGCCAGTTCTCCAGTTACCTGATGTACATAATATATTGGCTCTAATCCTACTGCTAAAAACCCCCGCCTAGAAATTAGTAAAACTAAACATCTTTCTGAGTGTTTCCAAATATGGTCACAATATCTGCATTTCCAAATGGTGGCAAATTCTCCATTGGGGTTGCACTTTCTCAGTTGCTGTTTGAGTTGCCCCAAAGCTAAAATAGTTGGTTTTCACCCATATAAAGCTCCTCTCCAAACTCACCATGCTCTTACTGTCCCTCTGGTAGGCCAGTATGCCCAGGTCATGTTTATTACAGACTGTGCTTTGGACCAGAGTTTTTATTCTGTTTCTGCATCAGCTATTTCAGATCAAGTATCTTTCAAAGAAAAATATCCATGAAAAACACTTCACTTGAAGGATGCGTTTCCTAGAAAACTTTTAGTTGTCAAAGGCATGCACAGAACTTCATGAATATTACTTAACTCCGCATGGGGCTTTGCAGGAACTCATAGTAATCAACACAGTCTAGTTCATCCAAAAATCATCCTCTCACATGGTAGGAAAAGGACTGAGGGTGAGAAGAGGAAGCAACACAGCTTTTTTGTTGTTTTGAGCTGCCCAAGCTCAAAAAGGCCAGTGGCAGGACAGGCTGTGTACTGGAATAGTTGTAACCTAGGGGTACCACCTGGGGGTACTACCTAGTGATTTTTCATAAAACACAGGTCTCATTGAGTGCTCGGTGGCTAAGAGCTCACCTAGTTGGCTAACTATTACCTTTCATCAAAGTTAGTGCTGCCATGGATGGGTCTCACTTCTCTCTTCCTCTCAGCCACTCATTCACTCCGTCCCAGCCTCCAGAACTGCATTTTGCATTTATTACCTGAAGCACTCTGTCATATGGCTTGAGGCCACACTGATCTGCTGGCCCATCCGGACGGACCATATTTACATAGACACCTTTTTCTAACAGGCCATCCGACACACTGAATCCAAAGTCTTCGCTCTCCGGGTCTTTGTGAAGTGTCATCTGGAAGGGCAGAAGCAGAAAACACGTTTCAGTTCAGCAGAGAAAGGTGGAGATGTACAGGGACGGCAGGACAGGAATAACATGGGTAATGTGTGTGGACCTACAGCAATTGCGCTCTGGGTCTCCTGGGCAGCTAATACAGATTGAGCCTTATTTACCAGACACCATCATCTCGGGTAGATCGCATGGAGAAGTGCTTTGGTGACTGGCATGTAACCAACTGCACATCGGTCCCTCTGCCTTGGATGTGGAAGGGAACAGAAGCAGTGTAATACGGACAGCTGCTGTATTGCACCCAAAAAGCAACAAAGCAAGTGTTATTAATGGAGCACCCCCTTCCCTGGCCCAGATTACGCTGCGCGTCCCCCGTGTACGCCAGACCAGCACATGAAAAATCAACATGTTCACAGGGAATTTTCGATGTAGTGCGTCAAATGTGAAGACAGCTCATTTTTAATACATCACTCAGTAAGAACATCTAAATGTTTCCATATTATCCACAAGTTCTTTTCAGAAAATTCATATCAATAAGTGCTGACGTACTGAGGACAAGAAATGGGTAACCTCATCACCCTTCCCTTGAGCACATCACATTTTGGCCTCGTCTGAAGGAGAAGTGTGCTGCTGGAACTGTTTCTTGCCAGAGGATAACACCGGGAGCCAGGGGCAACTGATTCCCCAACACCACAATCTCCCTTTGTCTCACATGAACTGGGAGTGAATCTCTACTGTGAGGCTCTAACTCCATCACTGTGCTCTCAGCCAGGTGACCCTCATGGATGTGTGGTCCTGGGGAAGGACAGTGCCCAGGATGATGCACAGGAGCAGCCCACCTGGCCTCAACCTCATCTCCAGACACAGCCATCATCGGATGCTCCAGTGGCATGAAGAGTCACCCTATAACACGCCTAATTACACAGTTCTCCTCCTTCACATACAAAAGAGTTTTATTTAAAGACACATTTGCCATGCCCTGAAGGACAAGAGCAGATCAAACAGCTATCGTAACTGCAGGTCTCATTCTAAAGTCACACTAGGAAAGAAAAAGGCAATCAAATTTTTTGAAACCTCTCCAGCTCCCTTCCCTGCTTGCATTCTGCATCAGCAGCTTCTACAGTTAATTACTTTTTCTAATTACCATTGCCTTGCATCATGCTTAAACTGGCTATGTTCAGCTGAGTACTGAATTCAAACAAGTATCCCATCATTGAAGTCCTACCATTTGCACGCCTTCAGGAAAGTCTGGAGGTGGATGGAAGGGGAAGGAAAAGAAGTTATTTTTATGTTTTATAAGTTATTCTTTATATGAAAAGTGGCCTATTGAATGGAGCGTGCAGCTTTAACCACCAAGGTACCACAGTGCCCCAGCCAGACCAACCCTTGGCAACACACACCTTGTGAAACTCGAGGGGGGTAGGGGACATGATTTCCTGCATCTCCTTCTCGATCTTCTTCATGTCCAGGTTCCTCTCATTCTTCTTGGCAGGGGAGCTGCTGCCCTCAGTCTGTCGGTCATCACAGCTGGAGTTTGCTTTTCTCAATGGGCTCAGTCCCGATGGGTTGACAGAGTCCAGGAGCAGCTTGCTGCCCTCCAGGCCCAGGTTGTGCACGCTCCCTGTCATGATGGATGCCTGTTGGGGAAGGGCACAAAGTCACTCTGCTGAGCCAGCAGGAAGAGATGGATCACACAGCAACAACGGAGGGGCACACAAGTGACACGAATAACAGGGGGGCACCACTGATCTCATTAATCAAAAATTAAGTACCAAGAAGCTCTTCCAGTTAGCTATAAAAGCCATTTCCAGACCTCAGGAGCTTGTTGCCAGGTCTATCATTGACCTGCTGGGTGCTCTCGATCCCCACCCCAACATGAAGCTTTATCTAAAAGGAAGCATTTGTGAAGCATCTCCTTACATTTTGATGAGCTTTTCTAAACAAACAGGGCCAGGCAGGCCTCATCTTGAGCAGGAACCTTCTTGGTAGTCAAGAAGGGTGAACATCCAAATCTCAGGGGGCTCCCAGAGGAACCAGTGTCCGTCTGGCTCTCCAGCCTACCCCTGCAGGCTGCAGCTCACCATCAGCATTGCATAGTGCTGGCAATGGCCCAGGGAAGTCAATAATTTGGACTTCACTGAGGCCAATTCAGGAGAGAAATTAGGATTTTATCTGTCAGTAAATGAGAGCTGTCACTGAGCAAAACTGAGTTAAAAATATGAAATTAAGTAGTATTTAAGCCTGGTCATCCTTGATGGCATCCATTAAAAGATGCCCCTAAGTAGATTCTACTCCATTTGGCAATGCTTTTCACTAATGAGATTACATTGATCAAAGCTAACGAAGGAGTCAAGAATCCAGTCTGTGGAACCTCAACTGGCTCCAGGTCACAGAGTCCATTTAAACAGCATAATGAAAACTGTCATTTCAAAGTTCAGGCTCCAAGGGTCTGCAGTCCCATTAAATGTCAAAAGGTAGAAGAAAGCAAATGAAAGGTAGGGAGCAGATAGCAAAATTCTGCAATGCTAAACGTGCCAAGTCAAAGAGCAGTTGCTCCTGTGCACAGGGGAAATATCATCTGAGTACATCTCTAATCAAGGCCCTCCAACTCTTTGCTCCAAGCTGGAACAAAGGCAAATAAAACGAATTCTGGTGGCAGTGTAAAAATGCTACCCGCTACCCACATTATCCCAAAAACGGATGGAAAAAATACAGAAAAGCTTTTAGCTTTGCGCTTTTCAGGTCTTCACCAAAAAAATTGATTTAATCAGCTCAAGTTTGGACAAATTAAATACCCGCTACATGCTGGAAGGATGTTGACTTGCCACCTACTTAAAACACAGATTAACAAACAGCAGCACAGCCAACCAGGGCAGGTTTGTTCCCTGACCTCTGGTAGCCTCCAAACCCCCCAGGACACGGTGCCATGCTGTACCAACACCAGCGCTGGAGAGCCAGTGAGAACAGAAAGGTCAGTGCACGTTGTGCTACTGTCCTCCCTCACGCGCTGCAAATACCATAACCTGCCAGTGCCCAACAGCGTTCAACTCCTTCTCTGGCTTCAAGGTATTTAAATACTCCTTGCAGCATCATAAGCAATTTGCTAAGTGCTTTGGGTTAAGTGCAAGCAGAAGAAAGGGCAATTCCAGACTCCTCCAGCCTGTGGCTGCCCCATGTTATTTTACCCCATGTCTTGGCTGCTCTCAAAGCTAAGCAGGGTCATATGCTCCACTAGATGTACTAGAAAAGCTTTTTTCTACCCATACACTGTAGTGTGGGAGTGGACGACTACTGTGTGTGAAGCTGTTTCCAGGCTATCTTGGGTCATCTTGTATGACTCTTGTTCTTTTCTTGAATGCAGAGCACGAAGGGTCAAATTAAAAAAAAAAATTAAAAATTAAAAACTGTCATAAATGACTGTCATTAAAATCACAGGAGGCCAGGAGCTGGGGCTTAGAAACCTGAGATCCAGCAAAAACCCCAATGAGTATTGCACATCTCACACCACACCTCAGGGAGAATGGGCGCACGGAGAGGGAGGACCAGATCAGTGGTACTTTGGATTTGATAAAAGGGGAGTAAAACCCACCAGAATTCTGCTGAAAACACAGCACTTTCCTTTTGTCTCCAGAACTTTCAAAAGTATTCTAAAAGTGTGCTAAATACACCAAAACTCTAGAAGTGCTCAGCTTTTTGTAAAATTTCTTTACATTTTTAAAAGCATTGCTATAACTGTCAAAGCTCCAAAGCCTTCAAACAGCATGAATCAATAGCCCACGTCTCTGCACCACGGATTCCTAGAAAATGAAAAGGATCAGGCAGAAAGATATTTTCTCTCTCCTGGCATTTCACAGTAGTCCAAAAAAATCCCTACTTTTACATTTAGATGCCAGCCATTAAGCAGAAGAGAAACATCTATGCATCATTTCAGAGAGGTACTTTTTCTTCAGCAGTCAAGAACAGTTCAGAAAGGTTGATAGTGACTGCCAAAACTCATTTCTAAATACATTCAAGTCCAGGAAATAAGTGATCAAGGGAAGAAGTTATAGTCTGTGGTCACTGGGGATTTGGGGTTTTGTGTGTTGGTGGGGTTTTTTTAAGTCAGCATTTTCTTAAGTAGTTAAGATAATAAATACACCGTTTCATGTTTCAGCACAATAAATTTAATTGAGATTTCCTCCCCCACTTACCGTTGCTAGGGATCAAGGAGGAAAGAACAATTAGTAAGTCCCCTGTCACCATATAGACCAAAACAGGACTTTCCTTTTCCTCCTCCAATTATCCAGAAATTGCTTTTTTTTCTCTGAAGCCTAAGCGATATGCAATTGTGCATAAAAACAGACCCACTGGGGATGACAGAGGGCACAACCCAGCAAGCTCTCCCCAGTCCTCTGCACCCAGAAGGCAGAGGGTGAAATGAGCTCATGGGGTCCCACTCCTTCTTTCAGGTTGCGGGAGCTGACTCAGGGAGGGGAGCAGCAGGAGTCCCCATCCTGCTGGGCAGGTTTGCTTCCTCCTGCCCAACAGTCTTGGGGGAGGCCTTTATTTGCATCCCATGGCTTAGAAATCCAGGCTCCTCATCCTATAACCGGACACAATAACATGACCTTCAAAGCATTTTGGATAAAGAAAAGAGAAAGTGGTTTGCGAAGAGAGGAAACACCTTTATTTCTGCAGGAAGCAATTCCTTTCTCAGATTTTTCCATGGGGAAGTCTGGCTGAAAAGCTTCCAATTACCTATTTCACTGAAACAGTTTCCGGCAGAGTGACAGCTGAATGCAAGATGTATGTTGGGCCTGTCTATATTTGAAGTAAGCCAAGGCTTCAGTCCCAGTGGGGCTTTTGGGGGCTCTTTTTTGCTTGGCCTTTAAGTGTTTTGGGCAGACAATATCTTTCCAAGCAGAGGGTTTGCCATTTGACAGGGAAGGTTTGCCAGCAGTCATGTGAAGATTGTTGGCCAGCAACAGTTTGCAAAAAGAGCGTGGAGTTCCTGATGTCATCGGCTCAGGGAAAAAGTCCACACAAGCAACTGTCTAATGAGACACAGTTATCCATTAGCACAAACACTGGCATAGATTAAACTCAAACCCTTATTCCCACCATTGGCAGCACAGAGATGCTACGGGCAATTAACAGATCCGGGGAAACAGTCTAACATTTATGGCAAGATCAAAACAGTCAGATCAGCAGCAAATTCAGAAAGTGATTTACCTCAATCTCCCTCAAAAGTTCAGACTGGCCGCATGTTTCCAAATCCTCCAAAGCTTCTCCAAAAACACGCCAAAAACTATCCTCGTGAGTGGTCTCAAGGCCATTTTGGCGGTTGGGGTATCTGTTGTAACGTAGGAACCAAACATTGTCAGCACTCTTCTGCAGCGGGATGGAAGCCGCAAGGCTACAGCAAGTGTCTCACCAGTAAAAGCAGAGACTTGAGGAGTCTTCATATACAAAAGCAAACAATATGAACTTTTCAGACAAGAGTCCGAATACGAGACCTCCATGCATTTACTAACGGGGCAAGTGTCCTTCAAAGGAAGAATTAAGTTGGTGTAGTAATGTCAAAGTTCAAAGGGTAAATTAAAAAGTGCCTGTAGGAAGATTGTAGGTTTAGGAAGACGTTTTGGTGAAATAGAGAAGTGAAAGAAAAAAGGATGCGTTATGGGTAAACCAGGAGCCTCAGAGACTGTTAGTACAAAGGCTGATGGGATAGAGCTCAGATCTGAGACACAGAACACCTGAGAAGAGAGAGAAAAACACAGAGGGTAACAGACATGGTGAGAAAATGATAAATACATTAGGTCTCTATGAGAGTAAATAATGCAAAGATGTATATAAAAATGATATCCCTGGGCTGGACAAGTAAACACACACTACAGCCAGCAATATCGACAGTGTCATGCATAACCCATACAAACCAAGTTTCGTTTGCTTTGGGATGGCCAGGGAACTGAGCCGCTACTTTCAGGAGGTCTCTTTTTCTGCTATATAACAGTCATGGCACTTACAGCCGTGTAAAGATTGTCCTGGCTACAACAGAGAGTAAGGACAGAGAGAACCTCTGTGTGTGCCTTGCTGGGGGCTCTGCCATTCCCCACCTTGGCAGTTTCAGCATCTCTTCTCTCTGACCATAAGCCAGGGTCAATTCTTGGATTTCTAAAGCTAATAGCAATTCAAGTCCTCTGAACAAGCCACAGAAGTAGGTGACACTGGACACTGTTTACTGAACACCAGATTGCACAAAACTCAGCCGTCAGCGCTCGGTTTAACAGGAGCCTCTTGGAGGAGACTCTCTGCGGTGGTAACTCAAGGTAATGATACACCCACTAATGTGTCATGGGGAGAGACCCCAAGGAGACAGTGGCATTACAGCAGCCCTAATGCATCTTCTATTCATCTTACTAGGAGCTGCATGGATGAGGCTCCACCTCTGCAACATCTGGCAGCATCTTGCATGGCTTAATGGTCATTGGCGCCACAGACGGGAAGGGACACTCAGCCACCAGGGCCACTTAGCAAAGTCAAAACATTTTACTTGAGTACAAGTCAAAGAGAGGTTGGCCTCCATAAAATTTATAATGACCTCTTGGGCTATTAAAAGAGCTTTTTCCAGATCTCTATTAACTGCAAAGTCTTTACTAGAGGCTTTGCTTTTCGTCCACTGGTTTAAATGGGAGTCTGTAGCAGGCACAAGCTCACACACACATGCTTTTCTACTTGTGGGATTGTGGCCTGCCTGGAGAGAGCAGTATCTGACATGGCTTATTGTATTTTAAATTCACCCCCTACCTTTCATCAGCTTTTAAAGGACAGTAGCCTTTACACTGAGCCGAAAGGTCAAAAAAACACCCAGCAAGACTTTATAAAAACAAACCAAAATTTCCCCCCAAAAGGAATTTTTGATTCTTTCCCCTTACTCATTTCCTTCCTCTGCTCCCAGGTTCCCAAAGAGGCAAATGTTCCTTCCAGTTACCAGTTTCTTGCCTCTCAGGTCAGCAATATAACAAACACATCCAGGACGCGGATGAATCAATACAGGCTCTCACACCACTGGGTCAGCAGTTTTTTTCAGGCTAAAGGCACCCGGGGTTAGAGACATTTTGTTTTTCTCCTTAATAAAAGGGCTCAGCAGCATGAACCGTTTCACCTGCACTTTGACATCAGGGCTCGGAGCCCTCATTAGGGACACGCGGGGCTTTGAGGGCTCAGATTTGCTAACTTCAGCTGTCGGCGGCCTCGCTGGGAGGGCCACGAGGGATCAGCGACCTCTGTGAGCTGGCTCTCGCTGAGAGGCAAAACAAGAACAAAGTCTCCGCCGCTGCCAGCCTTCCTGCCAGTTTGATCATCTTTAAATAGGTGGAAATGGCCATGAGATGTTCTAAGGGTTTTGTTTGGACAAACAAAAGTTAAGGAAAAAAAAAATAAGAAAAAAATAAAAGAACCGACAGTAACAACACGAGACACACAACTATGGGGACTCTAGAGGACGTTGAGGGGAGGGTTAGTTACAAACCAACAAGGCTTTTCCACCATGTGTGGCTCAGTGAGGGACAGCCTCTGGCCAGGGCAGATCCAGCAGCATTTTCACCCAAAGCGAGGGGCAGCTGCAGCCTCCTCCACAGGCTCAGGAGGTGTTGCAGGATTTCTCCCACCCTGGCTGAGCCTGGGGATTAACTCGATCATGTTCACTCAGCAGAGCTTTGTTTGTGGTGTTGGACGGGCCAAAGTGTGATAGAGAGAGATATCCAGCCACAGCTTGGGAGATTTCAACTTCAACATTCAACTCCATACTGGTCCTGCATGAACTTTGGTTGGCCTTTTTCCTCTGTGGCGTTGGGCTGTTGCAAAGGTGCATCCTCACTTGAAAAAGTCTGGCCAACACATGTGGGGACAGCCCTGACCATACCTATTTACTGCACTACACTACACTGCCTATTTACTACATGAAAATACTGCAGCCTTTACATGGCAGGAGTATGAGATGTGGTAGGAACCTGTGATCCATGCAGCTGAGACTGCCCTAACTCCAGACACAAATGTCACCTGGCCATGGCAGAGGTGCCACAGAGCTACACCCAGGGTAACCTGGCAATGTGGAGGTGGTTCAACAGAGGAGGTCATCACCCCAGCACCCCTCCCCATGGCTTCCCGATGCCGAGATGGGGACATCACCGGCTGCTCTATCACATTCTCATGCCCCCTTGTCCCTATGCAGTGACACCCACATTTGCAGACATACCTCCCTGCCTCCTCCCACCCCTCCGTACCTGGTGGGCTTGTCCCAGTCTTCTTCACTGAAGCTTCCATCCATGTAGGGGTAGTTTTTCCTGGGGTCCCCCGGAGGGGTGCTGCTCTTTTGCCTGCTGTGTCTCCATTCATGTGGATGGAGGGCTATGCCGGCAGCCTGAGGTATGTACGTACCTAGGGAAGGCAAGAGGGGGTGGGGAGAGAGAGGGTAATACATGGTCAGAAAACCCAAATGGAGTAAGTCACGCTGAGCCAGGAGAGCCTCCTTGCCCAACCCCAAACCTGAGGCCACATGGATTGCATACTGTTTCCATCTCGGTCATCCAAAAGAGGTTGTTCTTCCCATGCCTTTTTGCTTCACCCAAAGCAGCTTCTCAGCTTGTCACAAGGTACCCCATTTCTCCTTCAATCTCCCATTTCTGAGTAGTTCTGTGGTGTTTGGTCTGGGATCCACAGACCTGGGAACACCTATACCCGCAGATGCAGATCCAACCCCAGCCAGCTTCAACTTGGTTAATGGCTCCTGTTTCCACACTGAACCCAACAGAAATGGTGCTGTTGAAGCAGCCACCTTTAAATACAGCAAGTCCTTCAAAGAAAAGATGCTGCCAAACTTCTTTCAGCGTGCCCAAACCCATTTGTTTTGAAGGATTTGGAGGCCTGATTTCTATTAGGAGAAAAAAATAATAATCTTCATTTAGATTCTCAGCTGTCTTAGGGACTTAATGGACAACACACACACAAAAAAAGTAATAGGATATAAAAGCATAACACAATAGCTTTCGCAGCAAACAAAGGGCATCCAGAGGAGCCAGAAGCAACAGCCTCCCTTCAGCAAGTGTAATGGTGCTGGCTACCTGGTGGTGGTCACCACCTCCAGTGTGCTCAGCAGTGTTACATGAGGAAGAGCCAGCCCTGACTGCAAGGGCTGCCAGCCATTTTCTGCAGCCAGCAGAGCCCTCCCATGCCTTTGGGATCAGCTGGTGAAGGTACAGAAAACCACTTCCAGGACTTGTGTGTGAAAGGCAAGGAACAAGAGGAAAAACTCTGCTGGCTTGAGAGAAGCGGAGGCTCAGGCTCATCTGTATCACATTTGATTTGAGACCAATATGGACTGTTAGGATGAAATGAGGCAAGTTTCACTATATCTGCCCCCATGGACTTTTAGTACTGCAATGTCTTACTCCAGAGATGCAAATCCATCACTACCAAGTCACAAGATGTCCAAGTCTCACGAGGAGCTGCCTGGACAGAAATCTTCCAAAACAGACCATTCTTCAGCAGTGTCAGTGACATGTGCAGTACAAATAAATCTCCTAAGTCCCCTGCTCACCTCTTGCTGCCCATTCAGTGTTTCAGAGAAATCCTCAGCCTTTCCAAGAAACATCGTACACTTCCATTACACGCTGTGCCAAGTGAACAGGAAGAGGTAACGGAGAAACACGTAATTAAGGGAGACTTGACCTCCCAAACAGCTAAGAGCGCTGGAAATACCCAAAGACAACGCCAGCACTTTCTTTGAAAATGCCAAGGCCTGTTATTTCACTTAGCTGAGCGTTTCCTCTGTGTGTTTTTAAAGGTTAGACTGCTCTGGAGACAGCCCCAGAAAAGTGCTTGCCAACATCTTAGAGCAGTCAGGAGTGTTCGCTGCCTGCCAGAGCAGAACAAGGTGCTGGGATGCAGGACCCTGCAGTGGGTGGGCAGAAGGTGGGCGCAGAGGTCCAGGGACTGTGGGGGTATGTGTGCAGAGCAGTCACTTGGGTGCCACCTGTATCACCTCCTCCTTTCAGGGAGATGGGCTGGATTCCTGGGATTCAGAGCCACCTGGTGGCATGTTCCCACAAGGCCCAGCACAGCTCCCTCACCCAAACCCTTCCGGTTTCCTAAAGCTGTGGATGAACCTAAAATCTACAAGGCTGCAGAGTCCGATCTATAGTTCTCCATTTGGGGTGTAAACCCTAATCTCCAGGCTCTGGGCATCCCAGGTCTCCCTGCATCCTGCCTTTCCTGCCCATCCCGTGGGCAACCCTATGTGTCCTTATTCCTGCCCTCCAGCATCCCTCTTCCCAGCCAGCACTAGCACACCACCATGCACCCACATGCAACTACCAGGCAAGATGAGAGAGCCCCTGAAGCAAAGTTGCAGTCTGTGGATGTTGGGCAACTTGGCATCAGCCCCACTCCCCGGGGCTCTGTGCTCAATTACTTGTTCTCAATTTACCCATAAAAGCAATCACTTTGCTAAATCCAGTGTCCAACTTGTGCTAACATTCAATTAGATGGAGAAGGATTGCAGTATTATGAAGGCCAGGGGATTCCTCCTTAATGAAGCCTCCAGTCCCAACTGCACTCCCAAATTAAGACTTCAGACCAACGGAGGCTGAAGGAAGACACAAGTGTGGTGGATGAGACACCTGCACAGTGCTGCCCTTTGGACTTTTCTAAGCCAGGGTGCAGCGAGCACAGGCACACACCTTGCTCAGCACATGGAAGGTGCTTTGCAGGGGTGCTCTGCAGCATCCCTCCCTGTTTTCACATTCTGTTCCAGACAGCAGTTTTTTCACCAGTTTCCTTGTGCAGAGGCAATTCAGGGTTTTGTTTTGTTTCAATTTGAGCTAATACTAGTTTACGTCACCAAATCTGAACTGGAATAACTATTTTCCAGTGCCTTTCTCCAAGTAAAAATCTATTCCCATGACTAGTGCATCCTCCGTCCCAATTCCATATGTCTGCCAGAAACCACAGCTGAATAAACCTGGCCTCGAAGACATGTGTTCATCTGATTGCTCACTAGAGAGCTAGACATACTTTCTTGTAGTATTACCTTAATTATTTTGTTAAGTGAGTGCTTCTAGTCACAAGACATTCTTGTGGATTTTAAAACATCCTGAAAAGGATTAATATGTCCTACATGGCTTCTCTGGAGAATTAAAAGTGAGCTATGGACCAAATACTCTGTAAGACATATGGCCAGTGAATGCTTCCTCTGATTATGTGAATTATAAAGCGCAGTAATGGTTTTGAAAACGCTGTGAACAGTATGATGCCATATAAACCAGAAGAAATGTGCCAATAAAAACCTAAAACAGATACATCAACTCACAGCACCACATGAGTGCATTTTAAAATACATTATGTTCCTCGCTGGAAGTGAGAAGCCGTGCAAATGTGGTCAGACCACAGGCTTTGGCTCATATTCAGTCTCCAGACATGTTTGGAGGCTCTGCCTGTCTTCACCCTGGCCCAGAAACCCCTAAGAGAAAACAGACCTGGCTTACCTTGGCTTCCATACCCAGCATCAATGCCGGAGCCATCCCAGGACTCCATAGCACTGTCCACGCTAGGAATTGTGGTGGAGTATATCTCAGACAACTTGCTAGTTTTCTGGGAGTCTGTCAGTTCATCTTCTGGGTCACTCACTTCATTTATACTCCCCGACTTCTTGGGATAGGGTTCTGAAACCAGAACATGCTGCTTTAGCAGGCGCAAAGAGAAAGCCTCAGGGAAAGACTTATGCTGACATAAGAGCAAGCCCAGGTACTATAGGTCTTTTGAAGTACCTCTAGCTTTTCAGAAGTAGCTGAGACAGGACTGTGTGCTGCAGTTGAAAGAATTTAATGCAGTACTCTTATCTCAAGCTGAATCAAGAAAAAACGCCTGAGTTTTTAGCACATGGAATATAAGGAGCAACCATGGGGATTTGAGGATTCCCAAATACGAGAGAGTTGGGACCTAATCTCAATTCACAAGTGCATCTTCTTGTGCCTTTGGAAGCTTCCTCCAAACAGCCCTACCCAGAGAAGTGTTGGCCTCTGCAAACCATAGCCCATCGCTTCTCTGGCTCCCTCCTTTCTCCTCAGAGCAGCATTGAGTCAGGGTGCTGGCTGCAAACTTTCTGTTAGAAGCAGATGTTTTAATGAGATTCTAGTCACAATGTAACCTGGTCCCAAACTACCACAGCTGAAGTTACAGCCCCCTTCTAAGACTGTACAACCTCGTATCAACTCAAGGCTAATCACCACCCGTCCAGAGTCTCCCACACAGTCTCACAACAACGGTGGAATTCCTGGGCTGGGTATTTTGAGGCTGAATTTCCCCTGATTAGTGATTGGAAAGTGGAAAGCTGAATGTGGATGATGAAGCTCAGACCTTCCCTTTCATTATTTTAGTAATAATAGGCCCTTATTATCATTATATCAAATTCCTTTTCAGGCAACAGCTATGCAAGGAATGGTTTCTCAGAACAAGCATTTCTTTGTACTGAATATTTTAAAGTCCTCATTGATTAGATATCCTGTTAGCCATCCACGCCCTCTGGATCTCTGACTCGCAGAGACTGGGATAAAAAGCCCTCTGAAAGTCTGCATTTGTCAATGAGGACAGATTATTTTACCAAACAAAGCCCAGTGTCCTGAAAGTCCCTATTTTCCAAGCATTCAGAAGATTGCTCACCATGATTAACTCAAGATTACCTTGAAATTTCAATTACACCTGCTTCATTCTCAGAATGATTAACGAGTCTCCAACTGGCACTTGCATGTCAATTATTTTAGCTAGTGGCTGTGACAATGGTAAGTGTCAGAGGGGGGGAGGGAGGGAGAGTATTTCAGACCAAGGATCAAGACAGTTGGCTACAGGAAATGACAGTGGAGTTTCTTGAAGAGGAATCAATTCCCCAGTTCTACCTCTATTTGCAAAGTCCCCACTCCCTGCCTGGGCTTCCCCCATTTGTACAATAGGTGCATTGCCACACATCTGTAAACTGCTTTGAGGTCTACAGAAGTGCTATGTTTAAGAGCGATGCTGCTTTTTCAGATGCAGGACAGATGTCCCATGGGCCACGCTTGCTTGGAAGAGCTTTATCACTTGATTTCTTCTAAACCCCACAGCACTGCGGGCGACTGGCTGGGTAGGTCCAGCTAAATCTAGAGACTGCAGAAGCATAGCACACACACAAAAAAATAATAGATAGAAAACACTGGGTGTGGGGAGAGAGAGAAATGCAGCCAGAATGCACTCGCTACTTTCTAAACTTGATGAAAAAGCCTATTTGGCTGTGATTACACAGTTGGTGAGAAAAGTTTGCATGTTCCCTGGTTTCACCAATCTCCTCTTTATCCCCCCCAAAAGTGACCTGCCTGTACAAAGTATGCTCCTGTTCTTTGATAGTGTGTCAAGAAGAACAGCTTCAAAGCCACAGGGAGCTTGGCAGGGGAATGAGAAGGAGATTTCTAGAGTAGATGCTTTGAAAGATGATCTTAGGACCCAAAGCCAGGAAGAGGGGCATAAAAGATTTATTGCCAGTCACTTTCAAAATGTTGAACTAAAGGTGGTTTTTCTTGTTGACGGATTCTACCAGCTCAGAATCTCCTTGCTCATTTAGGGGAGTTGTATTTAAAAAAAAACACCCTGCAAGTTCTGCTTCACTTCTGTGTGAAACACCCACACAGACAGGGAACTGTATCAGCAGCACAAGGTGTCAATCTGAAAAAAAAAATATTATTGCAAATAAACCTGCCCTCTAATCTCTTCCTAGTACCACAGAGACCCTTTTTTTTTTCATCTGCGAGTCAGAAGTAAAAAACCACCCTCCTTTTCCCTCTGTCCCCAGCTGTGTCCCTGAACACGCTGCCTCATCTCACCTTCCACAACAAATGAAGGAAAACCTCCAGTGCCACCTTCCTGGGGTCCCTGCCGGAGGGCACCTTCACCCTCCCCCCCCCAGCCAGGGTCCCCAACTCACTCTCTGTCTGCTTCTTGATCTTCAGAGTGACCGTCTCTCCCGCCATCTGCAGCAGGTGAATAGCTTCGCTCAGCGGTTTGCCCTTGAGGCTCACGTTATTAATTGCTAATATCCGGTCACCGATGTGGATGGCTCCAGTTCTGGAGAGAAAAAGCGCCGTTAGAAACTTCAGAGAAGCAATTCGCCTCTGCGAGACAGGCCATTAAGTTGTCGCTCGAAGCAATAACATATTAACTCTCAGCACTTTCAAATGCGTCTTCGTTTCCCCTTGGTACACCGTGACTTCCTCTTCATCACCACAATCTGGTTCCACTGCCCCCATCTTCCACATGTGCATATACATACAAACATGCTCAGGAACATACACACTCCTCAGATCCCAGGCCCCTCGGGAGCTGGGACTGCAGACCTGTTTACAGTCAAAACTCCTCAAACCAAGGGGGTCTACATGCTAAAAGCACAAGCATTTCCAGTGTGTGATGCTCACCGGTGATCACACATGGAACTGAAGGGCATGTTCATGCTGACAGAAAGGAATGATGAGACAAACCTAGAAATCCATTGAAAAAAACCGTGAAAATCAAAATGGCCCAACACACCCAGATTGCATGTACAAGAATGAGCTGAACCAGTTGCAGATCAGTTCATGATATGTTTAAAGCTCACCCCTACACAGATAGACCACTGTGACTTTCTCCACCAGGACCAGCACACTAGAAAAGGTTATTGTGCTATGTGCACAGCCATGTTCCAGCACTGGCTTCTGCTCTCAGCTAAAGAAATCCTCAGGTGTTAGCCGCAGCCAGGAACAAACTAACAAGTCACGACAATTCTCCCCTTTCTCCTCCATCCTTCTCCTCTGTGTCTGTCCACAGACAGGATCTCACTTTACCTCTCTCGGTATTTGTTGCAGCTCCGGGAAGAGCAGGCAGGACAGGATGTGTCTGTCCCAGAGCTGGCTGCCAAGGCAGGAGCTCATGCTCACCTCTGGCTGGATCGAGCTCATCACACTCACACTCCAGCTCCCTAGTGCCAGCAAGCCAGAGCAGCAATCCTCTCCTCCTCCAGTAGTTCCATGAGCTTCAGCTATCAGGAACCTGTGTGATCGAGCCAGGAGGAGATGCAAATCTGGACTGCAATGTCTTTTTGCCCGTGGCAACATGCCCCTCTCACGTTAGATCTCCAAACCGGACTGCTGCTCCTGCAGAACTGGGATTTGATACACCATCACAGGCAAAACAGCTACTTGCCTTTCCCCAAAACACTTCTGTAGACACACTGCTGTGAAACATCTACTATAAATACATCAAATTGGGAAATGTAGCCAAAGAGCAGGCAGGACTGTTCAGTTTGCTGCTGCTGTGATACTTCAACAGTGCCCGACATCCCCACCAGCCACTAGATGTCCGTCTCGTCCCATTCACATCAGCCTGAAAAAGCCCTCAGGGAAAACTTGTGCATCCGAATAAATTACAGATTAAACTGGGACTGCAGTATTTGTCTTAAAAGTTTCATCTACGTAGTCGAAAAAAATCAAGCTTGACTGCTGGCAGTTTAAAGGCAATTCTTTGCTCACTGTAGTGGTTCAGCATTTGAAGGCCTCCTGCTGTAGCCCTGAACCCAGCGAGGGGACACATCTCCTATCCAACATCAGCCCAACCAGTCACCTCTGAACAACACAACTGCTCTGCAGAAACTGTGAAAGCCCCTCAGCAGGGAAAAATACAGAAACAATTAAAGATAAAGGTCACATTCATCGAGGTGCTTTTCTTCAAGGGGGGCGGGGGGGGCTGGGAGTAAATCAAAGTCCAGTCCTCTCGTCTGTCCATCTCCAGACACCCCCATGAGAACAAGCAGATAGAAGGTGAGTGGGAGCGATAGAGAGAGCTGTTTCTAACTAATGACCCTTGTGCATCTCCATCATCACCAACAGTCCTTAGTTCACCTCAAACACAAACCAGCCCAGGGGCTGTGCTCTATGTCCCTTCTTGCTCAGAGGACACATGCAAGAGCAGAATCAAGCAACAGGTAAGTTGCAAGGTGTAAAAGGGGCTGCAGGCACTTCCCAGCAAGCACTGGAGAAGAGCTGGCTGCATGCATATGGTAGGGATTTACTTGGCACATGGGCAGGGCCACCATCCCCTCTCCTCCCTGCCAACATAGTTTGGTGCTGAGCACTCCTGGACAAAACCCTCCTGCAGCCACCCCCATCTACTTGACCAGGTGGCACTAGAGGAGGCTGGTACTTTAAAATGCCAGTAATAGCCCAAAATTGCTCTTAGAGAACCATTACACCTCGACCAAAATTGATTGGTGTTGTTCAGGCACACTCCCTTCTGCAAGAAGAAGGAAAACAAGTCCCATGGTCCAGGCTAAAGCCACCTGCAGGTACTGAAGGAGAAGAAACAGAGACTAACATGGGAGACAGCCACCGCTCAACACCAACCCAACAACCTGAGCTGCCTCTGTAGGTTTCTATAAGATCAGACACGTACACGGAGAAAAACGTTCAAGGTCAAGATAAAAACCAAGTCATCTGTATCTGGAGCCTTTTCAGCTTAGACAGCCTGTCACGCACTGTGACAGACGTGTGGCAGATCCTAGAGGACAGCCTGCCTTCCCCATCACCAAGCAAGCACCCCAAGCCGTGGCACAGACCTTCACTTGTGCTTCCATGAGAGCACTCGGCGCATTCCCGTTATCAAATGCTGGGATCTGGTCCACCCCCTGCCAGCGCTGCTGAAACATGTCCCGTGCTCCAGCAATAGCCAGGCACTGATTTGGGTTTAAGTCCCTGTCCTTCAGAGACCTGTCCCACCCTTCAGAGCCTGGCTAAGGGGGGGACAATCTAGGATCACACTAGGACCACTCCTCTTCCCATGACAAGGTCAATCTGTTCCCTTCTGTTACTTCCAGGAGAAAAAACAAAAGCACCTTTCCTGCAGACAGCCTTCATCCCAGCCTTCCTTGCCCTCCCTGCACGTAGCCAAGGTTACCCAGAGAAATCCCTGCGCTGCTCCGTCCCCACACCACTCCTCTGCACAGGCACCATTATTTGTTAGTCAGCTACGGAGAACATGCTGGAGGGCTACATCCCTCTTCGCAAAAGGCTTTTCATTCCTTACTGCCTGCCAGCTCCTGATCAGAATTCAATAGCACCGCAGCACTTGCCTGCGCTACGTTTCTCTGTGGAGCGGTCACTGATGCGTGTCCGAGTTCAAAGGAGGAACAGCCATGGCATTGCAAAGGGAACCGAGAACAACAAGGGTACGAAACTGTCTTCTGAGCCTGACAGCATTTGGGCTTTCTGTCCTCTCTCACGCTGGGCTGCAGGTACAGTGCAGAACTGCTACGCAGAAAAGCATCGGATACTCTATAGCTACTATTTCCTAGGGAAAAAGATTGAATCCTACAGTGGCAGGCAGTGTTACAAAAAAAAGAGAAGAATCACAAATGACTAAGTCCATCCCCCTTACTTACTTCTCGGGAGACACTGGTGTTCTGCTCTCTGTACCAAAGGGAAGCAAAGGAAATGCGCAGCAGTGTGTGTGCTGAGAGCTCAAGGAACCCAATGCAGAACGAGGCACTGAGCTCTCAGTTTTACAGTCCAGCTAAGGGGGAGTGTGGCCTTGAATCAGAAAGAATGAAAAGGCCAGATCTGCAGTCAAATCTCCCCAAGGTCAAGCCCCTTACACCTATTTATTTGGGCAGGGGGGGTTTGCTGCTGTTCTGCCTGTCAAGCAGCACAGGGTAAGGCAGCCCTATGAGAAGCATGAGTCAGGCTGCTGAAATGATCTATTTACAAGTCACAGCTACCGTATAGACAGATTAATTAAGATAGAGTGTATGACTCAGTTCTACCTTATATTCTCAGCAATGTCCTGATCCGTTAAATCCCACGCACGCACGTATATTCAGACACAGGCACACACAGAGCCAACCTCCCCGGCTGCCGGAGGTAAAGCTGCACCTACGTTTCTGCTGCATAACTGTCTGCTGCTTGAAGCATGCCAGCCCCGCGCTGAGACACCTCCGTACGTAACAGCCTAGCCACCAGCAGGGATGGGCCAGAAGACCCCCCTCACCTCAGAGATACGTGGTTTCAGCAGGACACACCACTGCCGTGGCCATAAGCCACAGTTGAGCAATGTGTGAGTCTGGGATAGGATTCTACAGCAGTTTCATGGGCAGGGTGAGGGCTGATGTGCAAGATGTGCATGGGAAATCACAAACCAGAAGCACCTCTGTGGAAGAGGGACAGATAAATACATTTTCCTGGCTGCTGCATTCAACTGACATACTGCCTCTGACTCTTCCAGAAGTGCCCTGCTTTGAGCCTCTCTCATTGCCCTGACAGCACAGTCCCCACATCTCCTGCACGTGGGCCTGCAGAGCCAGACTGGCAGGGCTGTCCCTGCTTCACAGTGCTCGGTACCTTCATAGCACCCTTCCTTTCTAGCAGACTAAAACACCTCAGAAGAGTTTATGACAGCAGAGGAAACTTTGCAAACTTCAAAATCCCTTCCCATATCTGCCCCCAAACCTCACCTTTCTGCCAGCCCTCGTTTAGTCAAGCCCGAAATGACAATAGGGTCGAAAGGTTCCTCTGTCCCAGAGATGGTTATTCCCAAGGGACCACCGTATCGCTTCAGTTCCACCGTGTAGATAATAGCACCTGTTGTCTCCTGCTCATCTGAAAGGGAAACAGGAATGCTGAATTTTTTAATTAGCCATACGAAAGAGGTCATAGGAAAGACTTGCAGCATTTAGTAGAAGGAAAAGCCTCAGGCCTTCAGCCATGCTCATACCAAATAGGATTTTAACCTTCCAGGCTCTGTTTAAGGGCAGAATAACAAAAATAGACTATAATCAATTGGAAAGTGGTGACCGGACAAGTGGCAGCCCTTATCTTTGTTGGTTTGCACTACCTATTGGGAAATGTCATTACAGTGGACAGGCACCAGTTTGCATCAGGATTTCTGTACCAGAGTTATCTTCATCCTTCCTAATCTTCAATTTGACCAGGTCTTCACACTGCCTTAAAATCTGCACAGCATCCTCCATTGAGCAATTGTCGAGTCGGATGTTATCAATGGCTAACAGCTTGTCTCCTGGCTCCAAGGTGCCAGTTCTGTGTGGAAAGGAAAAGAAAACTAAAAGAACATTTATATTTGCCTTTCAGATCCCATGACACATTTGGTCCTGCAGCGGCAATGACAATATTCACTATTAACTTTTTGCTGTCCTTGATCTTTTCTGAGAAACAACCATGAACAGAGGCTGGGACAATTGTAACTTAAAGAGAGGAAGTTTCTGTAGGGTATGCATCAACACAGAACAAGGCAGGAAGATTAGAGATACAGCCTGGGTAACCTAAAGCATTGAAAAATGCCTGAACTTTAACTGACATATATTCTACCTTTTATGGAAACTCCTGTATGAGGACTCAGAAATGAGCCCTCCAGCAGCACTAAATTCCTCTGAAAGCCTTGCTATGAGGTGTTGGGATCAGAGGTGAAGTCAATAAATGCTGAGTTATGTGCACAGTTCTCCACCAGTGCCCACAATTCACTCACCCTTCACCTGAGCAGGAGCTGAGACACGGCAAACTACCTGATGAGCCATAGCACCTTGTGGGATATATGAAGCCCTTTACCACATGCTCTTAAAAGCTAAACATCCATCTCCTATATGGTCAGCAAATATCTGAATCAGTGCCCTGGCCCGCCATCTCCATTAGCTCAACTCTACATGCTTCAATACAGACAGTTTTTATTGCAAACCCTACTGTGGTGTAAGACAAACCTCTAGGGTTGAGATCTCGGGTGCTGGCAAAATCCAGACCTGAGTGCTACTGCTTGGGCTCCATTCTACCTTTCATTACTGAGCTGGACATTTAGCAGTGGGTTTGGCAGGTGGGAAACTTGCCACTCACCTATGTGCTACACTCCCCTTCTTGATGTCAGAGATGATCAAAGGCTCCCCAGGCTTTCTGCTTGCAGCTGCAAGAGAGACACATGGGTACAAGGCTTGGTATCAAGTCTGCTATAGAGGGGATAGTTAGTGAGGAGAAAGAGTCATAAGGAAAAGGAGTTTATATTCCTTTGATAAAATGATGCTTCACGCTTGAACTCTGGAAACCACACCAGGAAAAAAAACCAAATCCCTGCAAACGTTATTTGGTTGCTCTTTGCCCAAGGTAGCTAGCTGCTTCCTTCCATCTCCTCAAAGGGGAGGACAGGCCACGTCCAACAGCAAGAGCTGGGATTGCCCAGCACTGTTGAACACCCGCTCACCCACACCTCTGACGTGAGACAGCAAGTGAGTCAACGGCTGCGGCAACAGTCAGACATCAGCACTGCTGCCGAGGGAGTACCCAGCTCCACGCTGTGGTTAATATAAGCATTTCTGTGTTCCTGAAGTAAAGTGGGCTGGGAATTTTTCCAGGTGGAAAACAACTCAGGAAGAATTAGATAAAACATTGTTTTCTAGCTGGTTCAGCTCCCCAGGCCACTTCATCATCCAACCAGATAAATTGGGGCTGGTCTCAGTGCTGGAGCTGGAAGGGGTGGTTTCCAACTATTCTCTCCAGCCTGACCCTGGTAACTTTTTCAGCCCATGAGAGATGCAAGTACACATCTCTGGGAGCATTTGCATTTTCAAATTTGCGTGCAAAGACCTGCTGCTCTCTTGAGAAATCTGAGTGAGCTTTATGACTCGAACCCCTCCTGACCCCTCTGCCATCCGCACACCAAACATATGCCAAGAGCATCCTTCTCACCCTGTGTCACTTCCTCCTGCCTGCTATGGGAATTGCATCGTCTCATTTAAAGCTGACAGAGCTTCTCAGCAAAAACTGCGTAGGAAGGAAGGAACTCGCAGCATCCGAACATATCAGGTGCAGGTCAGAGATTAAAATATCTGTGAGGCACGTGGCATCACCCACACAGAGATCCACCTGCCTGAACAGCAGTTAGAGCACCCCAGAAAGCCAGACATAAAGGAATAAGTGCTTCCTCTTACCAACCTCTCTTCGCTAAATTTTTCTGTTGTTTACATTCATTTATAAGATTTAAAAACATACGCAATAACCCGTCACCTTTAAGGATACCAGATATAACTAAACCTTCTGTACTGAACAGGGAGAAAAGACAGGCAACCTCAGTCATAAGAGGGCTGAGTAGAAAAGTTAGGTCAGACAGCGAAAAGCAGACCGTGACTGATTTTATAATAGTCACAGCAAAGCAACTGCTGAATGATAGAGAGCCTGGAAGAAGGATTTTCCCCATCTCTTACTGCAGCGTGGTGTCAGGCAATTTCAGCCTGGACACTCATGTTCAGTTTGTGGCCACAGGTCAAAGAGAAGCAGGTGGGTTGTGGCGATTCACCGAGGGCTTGTGCTTTTATTCCACCTGTCCACGTACCGAACCAGCCAGTGGACAGACCAACATACACCAGGCAGAGTTGAGTGGTGGGAGGGAAGGATGAGATGCAGCTTGTGCAGCTAAAATCAATGCAGAACCCAGATTGAGAATTTCACACCGTGGACTAACAGCACAGTGAATGGCGAAGTATTGCCTTGTTACTACTACTGCTGTTCTCTCTTTCAATATAGGACGTGGATTTTCTGCTGAAAAGTGCAAAACACAGTGGTCTGGTCAGCAATGATGGGAGACCCTGTAAGCACACCCTCTGCCCTGGGTCGGGCTGGCAGCGCTGCATGTTTAGTCACTCTTCAGCCCGGTTCTGTCAAAACAATCCAGGTGAGCAAAAATACTTTTCCCTGTAAGGTTTGTTTACTAGTTTCAAAGCAAAAGCAGCATGACAGAAAGGGGTTAGGGAGGATCCCCACCATCCTGGGGGTGGTTTGGGGATGGCCATCTCTAAAGACCCAGCCACAGCTGGAACGATGTGTTTGGAGACAGTGAACACTCAAAAGAGCAAAGAGGGGGGAAGGAAAGAAAAAAATAAAAAAAAGAAAAGAAAAGCAAGCATAGACAACAACATGCCTCGTGCTCTGCAGAAATGGTGTTTATCTCAGCATCTGCCTTACAAGCCCTGTGACACGTGAGGAGACTCTGCCTATGGTCAGTCCCTCAGCAGAGAGTGAGCCCTCATCCTTCTGCAGCTCCACAATAGGTGTCAGCACTGAACGTAGCACAAGCTTCCCATACTAGAAAGGGTGACTAACTGAGCGCTTTGTCCATTAGAAAACAGAGCAAGCTATAAGGAAAAATCATTCTGGAATTTTCTTGTGGTTTTTTTTGGAAGCTGTTCTTTCCAAACAGATTTTCTTGAGACCGGTTAAATGAAAGAGCCAGGTATAACAGCACAGAACTGTCCCTATCATCAGAGTACCCAAACTTTAACAAATGGCAGCTATCTGTTTTAAATAATCACTTACTATAAAATGGAAAGGCTTTATAAAACCATCATTATTAGTCAGTCCCTACAAATCTGAAGAGTAAGTTAGAGAGACTTAATGAATAACCGTTCTCTCTCAAGAGGCATAAGATACAAAGTTAAGATAATGAAATCTCAAAGCACAGAAGAGTCACTTGCTGTTCATTTTAAAAACCAGTAGTTACTAACTCCATTAATTCACCTTTGGCAGCCCAAAGCCTTCCCCAGCGCCCCAGGAGATCACCCAGCTGGGCTTTCCACCCCTCAGCTGGGACCAGGCGGCCCCCGACCGCCCCCGCCACCCCGGGACCCGTATTTTTAACAGTCCTGGGCTGTTCCCCCCCAGGGGGACAACGTGTCTCTGTGCCACGGCTGCCCTGTCTACAGGCAGGAGAGCTGCAATGTCACTGATGTGGTGACTCAGCCAAGGTCAAAGGCTTTGGATGTGTAGATCCCTGGTGAGATTTTGGATAAACCATTTCCCATTTCCCTGCAATTAAAAAAAAAAAACCCTTAAACTACATTATTATTATTTTATTAGGGCTGTGGTCTTTGGAGTTCAGACACTTGCACAGATGAGTAAAGCTTTTTCATCCATTCATTTCTGCTGTCAATGTGGTTATTTCTCTTCAAAGGACATTGCCTTGGTAATTCTGCTTGCTGCAGGAAGACACGGTTCAGATGCCCAGCTTTGCCTCTGGGTCTTGCTTTCCCGTCTGTAAAATGGAGACAGCAGCAAAGGCAGTCGAGGGGAGAGATGGATGGAGACACGGGCAGGAGCTGGCGTGCAGAAACCCATGATCTCTCTCAGCAGATGGCTGTGGCCTCCATCTGCCAGGGCAAACCACTTCAGGTGGAACTAGGCTCTTTTTCAGCTACATTCATATTTTTGGTGGGTTTACCAGTACAAAATCTGTTCCAGTGGCCCAGCTCCATAAATCAACAGTGGTTGAAGGCAGAAGTGTGGGGTGGGAAAGAAACTCAAAATGAAAACACTGCTTGGTGGTGGTGACAGGGCAGTGATAAAAAGGTGAATTGATCAATACTGTTATTTACTTTTTATAAATTGCTTTCAGTCTCTCACCACCTCTGCTGGGATTCTGGCTCGCTCGGCGTTTACGCTGTGATGGATGATGAGGCCAGAAACACATGTCTGGTTTGTGTTTTTAATAGAATGCATAATGACTCCTATCGGTAAATTATTCCCCTCCAAGGAGCACGAGCACATATTTCACACACATCAACCCGTTATAAATGCCCTTTGTTATTGACCAAGCCAAAGCAGCACTCTGCCAATGTATAATTAAAGAAATTGTAATAATGCCATAAGAATACATTTAAGAAGGCAAGCATCTATAAATGGGAAAAAACAAACAAAATCAGAAACCAAATAATGTCAGGATAGCTAAGGAATGAGAACAGGAGTAAAAGCAAATCAGAATTGATTACAAAAGCAGCAGTGAAAATCAAATCCCCACTACTCAACTTTTTCCTCTATCATTCATTAGTTTTAGCAGCAGGTGCATAAATTATCGGTGCCTCCAGCAGGACATTTATCCCGCTGGAGATCTATTTCCTTTCAAAATCTCCAGGTAGCAAAACCAGGACAGAATATCCCACTTTGGTAAAAGCAGCGGAGCGAATCAGCTGCAAATCTGGGTTGAAGGTGGGATGTTAGCAGGGGGCTGCCGGGCTGGCGGCGGGTCCCAGGTTAATCCAGCACCAGCAAAACTAGATTTGCTGAGCTCCCAGATCCATCTTCTCGCTAGGACAGTGATTACACTGCTTAAGCGACTTAATCGAAGTTATCTATCTATCCAAATTCCGGTTTTATCACCCGCAAGCAGATATACTACCTACTCCTTATCTGCAGTACTTCAAGCCAAGGGCACAGGAATTGATTTGTTAAGATATATAAAGGTAATTTGATAAACATGCTATAGAAAGCTTTAATGCATAGCTAAAATGAACGGTTATTTCAATATCTGTTTAAACAGCAACAATAACACACCTGTACCCTGCAGCAAATTTCACAACTAGCCCTTGGAGAGAATATTTGAGACAGACAAAAAAAAAAAAAAAAGAAAATACAAAAAGCAATCTTTTGTGCAATCAACTATCATTTTCCAGAGGCTAATAACAAATCCATATCTTATTTTAAGAGGTCAGGTATTGAATATACAAGAATACACAACTATTAGCTTCTCACAGTTGGAGATTTTAATTTGTAAGAGATTTACAGCAAAGCCACAAAGGCATAACTGTATGATTAGAACTGAATGCAGCCAGCAAGATCGGAGCACTTAAGGTACGTGTTCTGCTAATGGAGATGAGTAGCTCAGGCTAAGAAGGGCCACATCTTCTCATCCCTGTGTCAAAAAAATCTCAGTTTGCAGGTCTCTGCATCCCCACCGTTCACAGCACCTCAGAGGTCTCTGCACACAGCTGAGCTTCACAGCCCACACAGCTCCCTGAACCTCCCGGAGCAGAAAGGAGCCCACACTTTGCTCTTCAAGCCGAGCAGCTGTTTTACAAACAAACCCAGTTCTCCCTGGGACAGAAACCAACGCACTGGAGTATGGAGAAAACGAGAGTGATTTTGCTGGCTTCTTGTCCCTTCACCCCTGGATGAAGTGCATGGAAGCAGGGCACACGAGGCAGCTTTGGTAGTTTGCTTTGCTAATTTTCATTTAGCAACTGTAGGAGCCTGAAATGAGGCTTGAGGGCACCAAGGTGCCACAGAAATACAAAGCAGAGCCAGTGAAAGACTCATCCCTTGGCTTTCCTAATCATCCTATGGGGGATGGAAGAGGAAATAATGCTAAATTCAAATAATGTGTCTTAATTTGCTGCATCCCTTTGCCACGCTGGGCTTGAGCAGGGGACAGAAACACAGCCATGTGCACAGACCACAACTGGGGCTCGCTCAGTCCAAGCCTTCTCGTTCTAGCAAACCCCAAGACCTTGGAGAAGATGAAATGCCCTCAGCAAACATCTGCCCCTCACCAGGAGCAAGCACAGACCCTCTCTGTATCCCCATCCTAGAATCAGCTGTGCCTGCCCCTCCTCATACAAAAACCTTCTGGGTGTTCAGCCCTTTTATGAGGCTTTCCAGCAGATTTATGGTTCCTCCTTCAGCCAGCTCCATTACAAGAATTCTTTCAACGCATCCATCAAGAATCCTGCCCTTCCTCCCTGCTTTACTTAGCCATCTCCCGATTAGCTCTGAGAGCCACAGCACAGCAAGAACTTGATCACTTTTATTTCTGTAGTGCTCCTCTGATGAGGTCGTAACACCTTCTGCCCGCATAAGAAGGCAGCGGCAAACCTTCCTAGACAGAGGAATTAACTACAGATGAGCCTGACGAAGCTGAGAGGCAAAACTCAACAAAAGCTACTCATCTTTCATCTACAGTGTACCTGAACCACAAAGTTTTATAACAAACCCAATTCTGTGGCCACGGCAGTGCAGGAGGGTCTTCTACTGACCCCTCTGGCTTGTCATCTATTTAACCTGCTTTACAGAGCAGGGAACAGGAATCCAATGTGGGAGGCCAGTAAACCAAGACCCCTGCTTTAAAACAGTAGTTACATGCCTTTCCTTGTCAGAATGAAAGCTATAAAAACTGTTTCTAGACCTATACGAGCATTCAAATCAGCGGAACTGGGAGGAACTGAACAAAACAGAGTTATTTTTACTTCTTTTCTCTTGCTGCTTGCATCACACTCCCGCATGCACATCATGTCTCTGCAGGAGGCACTTATCATAAGGCTGCTTGCTTTGGTTTTAATGTTTGAAACTGGTGTATTTATCTGCCCGGTCAGAGGCAGAGTGACAAAATGATGATCTAATTTCCTAAGGGTCATGTGGACATAGGCTTAGGTGGACTAATATATGAAAACAAAATTAGGATTCATCTAGCATTTTATCCTTGCCACCGCATTTTCTGGCTGGCTGTCTTTTGCTCCATTTGTAAATATAATTTTGGCGTTGACTCAGCAAAGGACTGAAATATATCTGAAGTTTGTGCGTATGCATTACTTAAACAGCATCCTGCAAACATGTTCAATAATCAAAAAGATCAAATCTATTATATTGTTAAAAAACTTCTTTGTAGTTGGATAATGGGTATCTAACTATTTCAAACCCAGGGGTCAGTTTCTTTTCATTTAGCATTAATTTCAAAAAAGTATGTGAAATCAATTTTTTAAACAAATTTTAAACGCAAACATTTTTAACATAAACATACGTTTGAAGTGTAAATGCACATTTGAAGCAGATCCCATTTAAGTGAGACTCCAGAAGTAAAAACTAATATTCTTGCCAGTAACTCTCAGGTTCATTTTACTCTCCAGCCCTAGACATAAACTAAACTTTGAAGCTTAAATGGGGAGAAACCATGGCCGTGCTCAAGAGAGAAGTGCTTTGCTAGCAGATCCATCATCCCAGGCTGCTACCCGAGCCTGCAATGCCAGCGCAGCGGTCAGGGCAGCAGGCTGGGAACCAGTGCACTGCCACTGAAATGTCATTATGGCCACCCCGCTGCTTTCAGAAGGCACTTTGATGTCTTCAGACAGTAATTGCTAACAAGCCAAATGTTAAATACTGTGCTGTTATTTCTCAGGATTATCCTTGTGGCACAAGCAGGAAGAGTGGGGAAGAGGGAGAAGAAATAACACAGGGTGCAAAGCCATCACCCCCCGTCGCACTCCTGAGAATCACCCCACTTAGACCAGAACACCTCCAATTAACTCACTGACTAATGCTGTAAATGCCAAGAGGTAATTGCAAATAGCTTATCTGTTTTAATGAAAGCTACTTTTAAAGTGTCCCTAGTGACTCCATTCCCCAGACACAGCTGGGTCCACGCTCCTGAGGGCTCAGACACAAGATCCCATTACTGCAGTTTCACCAGTTGCTTTGTTTCAGCTGAGAGGTGGTGGCAGCCTCCGGGCATGGAAAATCTGAGATGATTCAACTCAGTTTACCCAGCAGTGAAAGAGGGATGAGTGATGTGAGACCTGCTCACGTTTGCCATAAAGGAAAAGTTCACTGATGAGAGGGACAACAAGACCTCCAGTTGGCCAGAAATTTGGGATGGATCTGCTTATATCATCCCCTTACAGCATCCTCTCCAAAGAGGCCAGAATGTCTCTAAATGAAAAATACACTTCAGAAAAGAAACTAAGATAATTAATCAAGACTGAGCAGAGAAGAGAGGAAAGAAAAGGGTTTACATCTTGTTCTCTCAGTGCTCACCTAGTCCTGGCATGTGGATCTCCTCCTCCATGGCTGGGGTTAGTCAAAGCAACAACTCCGAGCAAACCCTGCCCAGCACCCTCCTGTCCCTAAAGTGCCTTTCCCCCACCTCCAATGCCTGCCATCCTCTTCATCCTCCTCCTCATCTCAGCAGTTTCCCCTCTCTACCCTTCAAGCTGTGGGTTCACCTCACTTACTCTTATCCCTCCACCTCCCCCTGCAAGAGTCCCACGAGACCCAGGCAGTCATTTTTTAAAAGGAACATAATAGAACTGTGAGCAAGGAAATAAAAATAATATTATTAATAATATAACTTTAGTCCGCAGCACAGACCAGCTGATCAGTTGAGAAGCATCCTTTGCCCCAGCCCTTCATGCAGCTGCTTTTCTCTGCAGCCACCAGCTTGTGGGGGCAGGAACCTCACATCTAATTCAGTTTGGGATAAATCACAAGCACTGCGAGCGCTACCAGGAAACCCCACGTAATCGTATCTCTCTCCGCTGGGGCCCTCTGATGTGCCAGGGTGGAAAGCAGCAGCTTTTGCAACTGCTAGCACAAGTCTGAGCAATACTTACAGCTGATTGTAATTCCAAGCTCTACACCTCTTTTCTTGGGCAATTTAACGTGGAAAGTACCGCTGCTGGGTATGACAGACTCTATAAAACCAAAAACAGACAAAAAAAAAAAAGAAAATAGGAGAAAAAAGAGAGTTTTCAGCTGCACAGATAGTTTCTTTGGAACCAGGAAAAACAAGCCCATAAAACTCAGCTTTATCGGTTCAAGTAAGGTTGTTATGTGAGGCCCTGCAGACTTTAGGTTAAAATTTGGATTCTCATTAAAAATACATGCTCTGAACGTCAAGTGAAGTGCTCACATCATGCTGTATTTCAAGATTGAGGCAGCTTTGTCAATGTAAAAGGAAAAAAAATTTTTTTTTTTAATACAAAGCTGCACTTTAGCCCCAGCCAATAGCTTTGGCTCCCTCCTTGCTTCAAGGCCATAAATTAATATTATTCATAATAATGGGCGAATATTTAAAGTGCAGGTGGCCTCTTCATCTACTACTTAGGCTTACCTCAGCCAAGCGGTGAGCACAAGGCATTTATGAAAGGATCAGAAGAAGGACCCTCCATCTCGATGCACATTTGAGAACAACGAGAAATGGGGAAGGTCCTCACAGGGTCTTCTCACTCTTCCCTCTGAGCTCTAGCAAAAATCTCACGTATTTGTGTGAATACACTCCCTCCTACGGGTTAACAAAGGCACTGGCAAAGTTCTGCTGGTAGCCAGGGGCAGCAGCTCCTCTGGAAACGTACCTGCAACATCAAATTCAATCTCGAGCACCACTTTATTTGTGAGCGCAGCATCACGCAAAAGCTGATTGGCTTCCTCCATGGTCCCGTCCTCGGTCGCAATGCCGTTGATAGAAAGGACTCTGTCTCCTACTTGTAGCAGACCACACCTGTGGGCCACATAGGGAAAACAGGGAAAGGGAACAGGGAGGCAGGGAAAAAGAGGAAAGGAGAAAAAAACAACCACACAACCAGTCGTGAGTGAGTTAGTGAGGAAAACCTGTTATAAGACACATAGAGTAGTGACAAATCCTGCAGAAGTGGCCCCAAAGAGAAGATAACTCATTCTGCAATGCCTGTCCCAGTGTCAAGATCCCCTGGAAGGTGTCAGGGCAGCAAACCCTTGTGGTTTGCTTAAGTTCAGATATAGTTTGCTCCTAAATAGCCATTTTTGATTGTATTTCCTGCAACTTCCAGGAAGGAAAAAAATAATCAACCCTCACCTTCCAAAAGTCAACACCGTGTCCAAGAGATGACAGTGATAAATGCAAGGGCATGTGCCCTCCTACCCTACCTAAGGATACATGGCTCCTTCCATGTGCCTGCACCCTCTGAAACCCAAACTAATGGCACTGAAAATTGCACAGAGTCCTCTGCTTAATACATGGCTAATACTGAAGCTACAATCCAATGAACTCACCGAAATGTCTCAGCAAATTGGATAATCATTTATCCCTTGTAATTGCATTTCTGGAAGCCAAATGTACATTGATACTGTTTAACTGCCTTGAAAGACCAATATTATTCTGATGCAATATCACACCAGTACAACCACAACTGGCACTTTGGGGTTTTTGGTTTAGACCCACTTTCTCCTAGAGCACAGATCAGCAGGGTTTTTTTTACTTTGGAAGAAAAACGATGGCAAGGCTATGTTGGAGATATAGTGCTACAGCATGGTTTGTCTCTTGGGACCCCTCTGTATTTATAAGCAAGGTTTTTTTCACACAGGAACCACTACATTCAATATTCACCCTCCCTTCTTTCTTTCTTTTTTTTTTAAATATACTGTAATACCAGCAAGACAATCCTCCACCTTACTGAGCTGGCTCATGGCTCTACAAAATAAAGAATGTAGTGTTCCCTGTGCCTGCCCATGGGGATCTACTCATCTTCCTGCTCCTCCACACCCTTCATCAGTTGGTTGCTATAACCACATCTTCTCAGATTTTCCACTTATCACCTGTCTATAAGGCAGTCCACTTAAGCAGAGCTTGGGAAAACATTCCTCCTCCTTTATTAATATAAGCTACAGAGTGGTCTTCGAAATAGGTTGGGGGTTATGGAAACAAATCTAAGGTTCACCTCTACATTTGGGGTTATTTTACCAGAAAGATTTCCCAGAAGGCAGCAGCTATCCTGTTTTGAGCCTTCTCCAGAGAATGTTTATTCCCCGCTCTTTAATGATCAAGCACGTCCTCTGCCCTCTCCTTTCTAGACGTCAGCTTCCACTGATATTTCATGGAAGGCAGCTTGTTTATTACTAATCCTTCCAGCCACTCTTCATCACTCACACCCGATTCACTTGTAAGAAAACATGGTACCACAGCTTCCAGGCACACAAAGATAACATCAAAGGCAACAGACACTGACTGCATTATTCACCTCCAAACATCAGGACGTATATGAAAAGCCAGGTTATCAAGAAAAAATACACACATCCAAATTCAAGAAGAATGCACAAGGCACAACATTTTTTTTTGCTGGTGGCCCATCAAAAGCTGAGATATGAGCAAGTTTGGAGAGAGCCGAGGGAGGTTATTTTACTGGTAGGAAGGTATTAAACTCGCAGTATATTTACGCTGCTGCCTGAGTTCATGCCATCCATGGAAAAACACAGGCTATTTTATGAGATGTAAATTCAGAATTGTTTGTTCAAGGAGACCTGGATTAGGACAGACAACTCCATGGTGTATAAATGAATCCACCCTTGCGAATAAATTAAATCAAGTATAATTACAGTCCTTTACTGGACTACGCACATAGATGCGCTTGGAAATATCATCTTATAAATATGAAGATGGCAAGGAGCATGACAGAGATGCCTCCCCTCCAGCACCGAGAGTGCTCTTGCTGTGGCCACAATGCATATTTCAGAAAGGAGGGATCAACATCTGCATCACATAAACATCACTGTCATTCAAGGTCACACAAGGACATGATCCATTTTGGCACCACTGTTTCAGCTGTGAGGGCTGGGAGATCACAGGATACTTTTACACAGCATCAAAGCAAACATTTGCCACCTTTCCCACCAGAGCTGCTTTCTCACAAAATCACTGTTTCTTGTGTTTCATCGCTCAGGGTAGATTTGCCTGGGTGTTTTACAGCCAATAGCTCTCTTAGGTCAGAACTATTTAATTTCTTTTATTATTAGCCTCAGTCAATCACAGCTGTTTAAGGCCCAGTCTTGCAGGTTTATAAAAGCTTGTGGAGTGAAGCCACAACCTTCTGTCTCCCTCCACAAGTGCAAGGATGACCCGACATGTCTCTGGGATAATTCTGAAGGGTTATCAAGGCACCAGTTTCCAGCTGTCATGTGCCCTTACATTGGAAGCAGGGCTCAGGGAGCCAAGGGTCCTGCAGACCTCTCCTTGCCTCTGCTGTGGGATCCTACATAAACCTTTTTGACAGCTTTCCCAAAGACAGGGCATTTGTCTCAGAGATGTGCACTCTAACAGCAGAGTTCACAAAGTGCTTTGAGATCACAGGAGGGGAAGTGCTTTAAAATCAGAACAAGAGTACAGGCATCTCCTGGAGTAAATGACAGCCCTACGGATGCGTTGGAGTGAATGTTGGGAATGTCTCCCTAGGGTTGCAGAGATTTGGATTTTGTCATGACTCATTCCTTGGACTCAAAGGCAGCACCAGAGCAGTGGAGGTGTCTTGCTAGACACAGAGCAGTGCATATTCGAGCCTTGGACAGGACATGTGTTTAAGACCTTACTCATCAGCATCTGCATGGTCACTCCAGCTGTGAGGTGAGTGGCAGCAGCTGTGACCATGGTGACATCGCTGGCTACAGAAACCGATCCGTTTTGCCCTTACACGCCCCCAAGTCGGCCTACACAGGTCAGACGTGCACATCTGCGTGTGTCTGCACATCCATGCACGCACATTGGTGGGTGGGTCCCAGTCCCCAAAAGATCAAAGCGTTGCTGACAGCTTCACCCAGCTGCTAAACTTTCCTTTTGCAAACCATTCATACACAAAAGCCAGAGACACAATGATCAAACAACTGTGTCTGAGTAGAGCTAGGAAACATGTAACTCAGCAGGAAGCATTGATTTTGGATACCGGGATGGAGAAGCCAGACACTCTCCCACTGCTGTCAATGACAGCTGGGGGAGGAAGGACACAAAAGCTGCGTGTTTCAAGGCAGCCAAGAGGGGACGTCAGGCATCTTCCTATTCCATCCTCCCTGCTGATAACAGGGGCTGAATCATTGTCTCATTTGGAGCCCAAAGGCTTCATCTTGCACCCAGGAAACAAAACAACAGGTGGGGAGGGACGTCTATTAGAGGCTATTGGCTGTAAGACAAATCACAAGTCAGGGAGGTGAGAGCTTTTGCTTCAAATGGCCTGCCACAAGCTAGTATGAAGTAGATAATATATGTGAGGCAACCCAACCTCCCTGAAAAGAGGGTGATGCCATCCTCCTCCCTGGTAGCATGCAGATTTGCTAGACACCCAAAAGGCAGCTCCTCCATGGCAAGCCAGATGGACCAAGTGATTGTGCATCATGCCCTTGGGCAACAGCACGTTCAGGTTCACAGGTCTGGCACAGCAGTGTGTGAACATGCAGGACTGACCCAGGCTGCTGAGCCAGACCCCTCTATCCCCATTGCTCATCCTCTTTTGCAAAGGGCAACAATTGCAGTACAAGAGCGCACGTAGCTCAGGCAAGAGCCCAGGTTGGGAGAGGGGAGAAAAACGGCTCTAATGTCTTGGGATGCAGTTACAGCAGAACCTCTCAAGGACAGGGAATAAGGTATCTAGAAAGGATGGAGCAAACAAGCTCTGTGGCACAGCAAGTAACAAAAAGTGACATGAAAACATAAACTGCCTTTTTCACCTTGCTGCAAGCCCAGTGCACTCATCTCTTCAAGATGGGGAGGAAAGACAGTGTTTTTCTGCCAGCTAGGAAAAGCAGCGTGGTCTGGGAAAGGAAGAAATACACCGCAGAGATTTAATCCCCAAATCAAATCCAGGCTGCAAACGCAGAGGATTCGCTCCCTGTTGCCAGAAAACAGAAGGCAGCAGCCAGGAGAGCGCGAATCCTGCCGGGTGGGCAGCCGAGAGGGAGAGCAGTGTGTGAGACATTAGAACCAAGCGAGACTGCACCGTGAGGCTTTGCTTTTGCTCCAGGCTTGGCAAGAGGGTAAAACAAAGCCAGGAGGATTTCAGCACATCTCCCTCCTCTCCTGGGACAGCAGGCTTTGCTGCTGCCTGATTTGTAAAAGGAGTTTGGTGCTTTGCACTGTGAGCCAAATTCACTCTGGTAATAGAGGATAAAAAAAACCAAAATGCCGTCACTTTCCTTTTTAAACCCTGTCTGGAAACAAACAAGCAGAAGGCATACAAGGCATAAAAGGCTCTCTCAACCTGTATCACTCAGGACAACTCTTTTTCCTGTCCCTGTCCTCCCACAGACACAAGCACCAGACTCTAGTGCTCCTCCCTGCATCTGCATCGGCCGCCTGGAGAAGCTGCCACACAGAGACCGCTCTGCACAGCAAGGATTTGCATTTCCTCTTCAGGTGCTTTCCCTGACTTACAACTCCCCGTGTGCTGTTTTCCCAGGCTGGCCTGGGGACACCAAACCATCAGAAGATGCTGGTGAAGCCCTTGGGGACTTCCCCTCCCAAGGAAGGGTCTGCAGCAGGCACTGAGCACTGCCGTGTCATTGAACCTCAGCCGCCCATAGGCAGGATGGACCACCAGTGGAAATCACAGGTGGGAAGAGAAACCAGTATAAGGGCATAAGTGCCAGCTTGCTCACCCTCACTATTTCATCTGCCTAATGGAACCAGCTCTCCTTTCCACCCCACAAGAGCTCAAGCTGTGCTGGGACCTGCTTCATTTAGTGAGAAAAACCTAGCTAGAGGACATCTATGTTGTAGCATACACTCGAGCAGACTTTGAATCCAGCAGCAAGAGTATTGGGAAAAGTTTAGTCAGAGCAGGTCCTGAGCTGAGGCTCGGCCACCGGAGGAGTCACTGCTGCCGGTATCCCCAGGGGGTGACACGCAGCAGTTAATGCCGTTCCTCTGTTCTGCCCTTTTCCCAGCATTACAGAGCCAAAAGCAAGAGTGCTTAAATGCAGCACCTCTCTGCTCCTCCACCAGAGCCCTCCTCTGCAGTTCAAAACATTGGCTTTAAGGCCAATTTATACAACTGGGCTCTGATACAGTCAGAAAATACTCTGCTGAGCCCATCTGTTTTAGATCTTTCCCCTTTCTGCACCCAGACAAAAGCTTTATCTTTTGAAGAGAAAGAAAATAAAAAAAGAAAAAAATAGGAATGGGAATGGCTCTCTCACACAGACACACGCTCCCTTCCTCCTCCTCCCAGAACAGCCGCAGCCTGGTGCCAAGACGTTCACCTGGGATGCGAGGGAGGCCGCGGTCAGCCGACGAGTGCAGAAATGGCAGTGACAGTAAACCATGCCCAGTGAAGAATGGGAGATATTACAAGGATGATAGTAAATATCTAAATGAGCCTCTGAGGAGAGAAAACAAACCAAACCATGAAATGTTCAGCAGCAGCACCATCAGCATCCAAGGGCAAGGTCTCTAACCTCTCTGCCGGGCTGTCGGGCTCAATAAAACGGACGAGAGGTGGGGAAGACAGGGTTTCGGTAGCAAAGATGCCTCCCTGGAGCTGGAGTCCGAAGCCATTCAATGGGTCTCCCCTGAGCACCACCTCTGTCATCTCCGTGTGGACTATCTGCCCGCCAGGACCCACCGTGCTGGAGGCCAGCGACACTGAGAGGGAGAGAGGCAGAAGGTCAGGGTAGCCATGGTCAGCACAGCAGGGCTGCTGACAGAGCTCAGTCTGGCAGCGGTGGGGACAGTGACCGAGGATAATGGAGGCACTGACAGTGCTGAGATGAGCGGTCCTACCCCAGCTAACAGTCAACAATAAGGACAATAATGACAACAAGGCAAGCTTACACACCCCGTCCAACCCACCCCCAGCCCACTGCCACTCTTACATGAGCTCTTGTGCTCCTTCTTCTTCTGCCGCCTCCTCAGCATGGTGGTGCGGGGGCTCATGGGGTGGGAGCTGCGAGGTAGCGTGTTTGAGTTCTGGCAGGGGAAGCCCTGCGCGTTCATGGTGGGAGACGAGAAGTTGGCAGCCACCAGAGCTGGGGAAATACAGAACACATTAAGGACGTGCACAGAGAAGTGCAGCAATGGGTTCACCTAATGGGTCTTCATCAAACACCTAATGGGTTCTGACTCGCTCCTTCTTCCCAGCTCCAGGGCTCAAGTCAATGTGAGAACCTTGTCCTGGGCTGGCAGCTGCAGGAGAGCTTGGGCTCAAGATGGACATTGCTCTCTGGTGTGCAGTGACTGGGCTGCCTGTCACTGCAGCATCCAGGCCATCAGGTAAGAAGGGCATCATGGATGCAGGGCAGCCAACAGCAGGTTAGCACGATGGTGCTAATGAAACTTAAATACATAGAAAGAGAAACCATAGCTTGAACTTGAGTGGCTGGGCAATGGAGATGCCCTGTTTATTTCCCATGGTTTGGGCACAGTGCAATGTTTCCTCCTCCCTCTCTTACTGCTTTAGGACAAGAAACCTAGGACTAAACAGAGACCGCTTCCTGCAAGAGGTGGGTTTACAGATTTTGAAGCAGCCATAATCCTGCTGCCAACATGCTGTGGGGCACCGGGGCTGAGCTGGATGCGCTGTTGTATCATCTTCCTACAATCCACCTCCAGCACTGGGGTGTGGGGTTAGAGGATGGGAGCATGGGTCTGCCCAGCACACTGCTCCTGTTGCAGTTACCAGATCTGTGTGTGCTGGGCTGCAGGTACTGGTTTTGTACCTCAGCACTGGACCAGTGGAAAAAGATCAAGGAGGCAATAAGTGACAAGCCAGGCTACGGAGTTGGGTATTAAGGAAATGGAGGGGCACGACATAGACAAACAGGCACAGGGAGCACATGGGGGCAATGCTGTGCCCTGAAGTTACATTTGCAATAATCCTGTCCAGACGTCTGGTTCCAAGTGGGTGTCTTGCAGTGCCCAGGGTGGTGGGTATGACAGTAGTTGACACAGGGATCCCAGCAGTGGTGGTGGTCACTCTTCTGCACCTTGACTGATGGCACCCAGGGGAGCAGAAATCACCACAGGCAGAGAGGAAAAGCGAGAGAAAGAAAAGGTGAGAAGTGTAAGCCAGGGTATTGTAGAAAAGAGCCTCATACTGGCTCTGAACAAGTCAGGACACAGCCACAGTGTGTTAAGCACCAACAGCGAAGATGCATCCCCACATAACCCCATGACACTTGATGCAAAGTGGCAGAAATCCACCCCTTCCCCATGAAGAACTCCACATCCAGAGCCAACGGCCTGACTAAGCCGTGCTGGCAGCGCACAGATGTCACTACCATTTGCAGTCTGTTGTGCGACGTGCAGAAGCTCCCTCCAGCCACAAGTTTCCCCACAGAGGCCATCAGCATTATCTGACAGCACCAGGGAAACCTCCTTGTGCTGTTTCCCACCTTGCTGACGGAGCTGATCTCCCAGGGACAAGGATCAACACCTTCTGCACATGCCAAGGACTGCTTTGAGCACTTTGCTTGGCTTCAGCGTTTGTTTTTTTAGAGGCTGCTCTTGGCCAGGAATCCACTGCAGGGTGCACATATGGAAGAAAGAGAGGAGTAGCAGAGGGCCACCTCCAGCTCACCAGAACAAAAAGGATTTTATACACCACTGCTTAAAGGCAATTACAGAGCACCACCAACACAGCAAGAGATGCCAACACTGTGACAAACACTAAATTAAAACATGGCATCAACATGGCAGACTCTATTCAAGGCCACACAACTGCTTTAGCGTCAACCCTAGCCCCAGCCCAGCCCATGTTGGCAGAAATCTGTTGCAGCGTGACATCCATCATATGGAAATCCCTGTCCCAGAAACTGTGGCTTTGCAACATCAGGTCACAATGCCACAGGTCTCCTCTGGAGTGCCTCAAACACACACCCCCCAGACCCAGGTCCCTTGTCTTTTCTCTCTGATGTGCCTTTTGCCCCTGAGCAGCACAGGGTTCAGTTTGGTTTTCCTTGCCCAGCAGCACTGGATTTTCTCTCCCCAATCTCTGCACCACACTGTCTGGGTCTATTTTCTTCCAAGAGGAATTGCTGGCTAACAAGCAAGGTTGCAAATGTCTCTTTTATTTAGCTAAGCATGAACGACATCCCACAGCGGCGCATCACTGGAGCCACGAGTTATCCCAGCGCTCTTCACCTCACGAGCACTTGCAGTGACTGGCAACCACCTTTTTTTTTCCAGAATAAGATCTCCTCTAGGCTCTGTGTCCTCCAATTAGGCAGAAACACCACCAGCTCTGGTACTACCAGAGCTTTCTGAGGGTGGAAACATGGCCACAGGGATTCAGATTTTAGTGAGTCCACCCAGACGTCTCATCTAAAGGTCATTGTTAGGGCCTTTAGCAGTGTGCATGCATGACAGGCATCAAATCATTTAGGTCAGGTTTTTCAACCAATGTAATGATTATATTTGGTCTTTGCTAAACATTTAGTGAGTTTAGCACTTACTCTATCAAGCTCTTAAAAAATCCACTTCCAGCTCTGGGGTCCCTATTTTGTGGATTCAAAAGTAAATTCAGAGCCAGGCAGCTCTTAAAAACAAAAATCAAATGAATAAATGTAGCTATATCTAGACAAAAAGGAAAGTTCTTAATAAAATTAAATACTTTGAACATGAGGGACAGAGCTTATGGGCATATATACAAAATCATTTAATCCGTTTAAAGTAATTAAAACTCTCCCATTTGTCTATAAATTCTTAGCTCATATCTGACACAACAGAAGAAAGTGCCTTTGAAACTCAGATGTCAGTGCATTGGGAAAGAGAAGAGATTTTGGACAATTCCGTGATAAAAACCTACAACAGCTTTTCCCTATGCTTTCGTACATCATCCCTGCCTAAGGAAACCCATCCATCCCAGCACCGCTCCTGGGCACCATCCACTCCCATTGATCTTGTGAGCGGGGCGTAATCCTCCCACAAACTCTCAAATGCCCCCGTTGCCACAGAGAAAACAAACTCAGTTTGACAAATCTGTGCCTCAGCATTAGACCATATTTTTGCATGGCAGCTGCAGCTCCAGATCCCTCTCCACCTCCTCAATAGCTAGATCCTGATTGCACAAGAAACCACATTTAAAAAAATACGACAAGCCCCATGCAGGCACATGCTGGGAGGACTCAGTAACGCAAGTGCTGAAGAGGGATGTGTCTGCACAGTCTCCTCTCCTCAGCTGCATTCCCTGGGCTTCACTCTCATGCACTGTGACAGTTGGCTTTTGCATGGCCCATTTTTCCTTACTCCCCCTGTTTGTTTCCCTAAACTCAGAAAAAGCCTGTGGAGCTGGCACCCCGTGCCTGGAGCAGAAAACAGCATCTCTGCCAGGTCCAAATGCAGTTTCTCAACTTCGATGCAGGTCCTCAGCTGCTCACCATGGTCCTCACGGTGCTGTGGCTGGTTACACCACTGAGGAGCACTGCTTTGTGAGCTGCTCCTCTTGGCCAAAGCACTCTCCCTTCTGTTGCCACCTCCACCCTTTCCCATCCCCATCAGCACTGGTGAAGGTGTGAGCCCAAGCACTGGTCTCCAACCACACACCTCTGCCTCCCAACAGTGTGGATGAGCAGCACCCTTCCCTAACATCCTTCAAGTGTTAAAAAGTTTAATCAAAAGTGGGAACAATTGTTACATCCCTTATTTTTGACATTGATGTGTTGCAATTGTTCTCCTACATTTGTGTTCTGGATTTCTGCCACAGCAAACTGATCTGATCTATGGAGGTTTGGGTAAATGGCTCTGAACACACCAAGCTGTCCTTCCACAGATCCCCCTTCCCCTGAGCTGCTGCTGAATGCATATATTCTGAAAGGAGATTAGAATGAGTGCACTAATGGAAGAAGAAGAATAGTTTACTTTAACAGCCATTGAAAAAGGATTACAGCTTTCCATTTTGGGGGGGGGGCACAAAGGTCAAGTCATCTGTACCCTTTGTTAAACTGCTTTAATTCTGCACAAATTGAACTGGACATGTAAGAGATTTGTTTCTAGACATGGAGATGTTATTAGATTTTATGTTTCACCCCATCATGTTAAAGAAGACAAGAGAGATATTTTCCTTTTTTGACAAAACCTCTCTAGAAGAGAACAGAAAGAAGAGTTGTGACCAGGGCTACTGTGCACCAGTGATATTAAAATGCATGTTCCTGAGCGACAAGTGATTGAAAATGGTTGCAAAAGAGAATAGTCGCGCCTGAAACACCTGAATTACAAGACCACTAGTACGGGCTGTAACAAAACTGCAGGCAAGAGTTGCAACAAATCTACTAGTACTGAGGCTGTGTTCACAACGAACTTTATATGAGAGCCTGAGTCAGCCTCTCACATGGAAGGAGAAATTAAAGGTGGGCAACAAGGACTCTCATCAGGGTGAATCCCTAATGATGTTTAATGCTTGATTTCCCTGGAGACAGAAATTTTTTTCCCCAGTATTTCTTTGGTAGGGGGTGGTGGAAAGCAGCAGCTACAGATGCATTCAATCTACCCCTGGCTGCTTGGACACAGTGGCCACTCAAACAGTCTGGTCCAGAAGATGAACACTTGTGTTTCCTAAGGAAGCCTAGCTACTGACACATCCTTTTCAAAATCTTACCAGGCACCAGCAAATGACAGCTGAGCTTGGAAATACATTTACCAGCACCAAGGTTGTTTTCCTCCCTCTCCATTAAAGTCTCTTATCTGAGGCACTAAGGAAGCGGCTTGCACAGCACTCAGCGCTGCAGAACCCTGGGATTCCCAACTCCAATTTCTCCATTCAAGCACAGATGTTACCTTTTTTTCCTATTCACATCCTTGAAGAACATCATCTAATCACATGCATTTCATCAAAACATCTTTTTTTTTCCTCCACAGATGTCTGTCTTTGGAGTCTGTTGCCAGCACTCTAAAGCAGCAAGAACCCCAGTAGGGACCACAAGTAAGTTTTGCGGGCAACCAACAGTGTTTGCATGGAGGACACACCTGTTTCTGGAGGCTTCAAAGGCAGTCGGCTTTGGTGAACAGGTAATATCTCCAGCTTGACATTTTCTGAAGTGGCAGCTAAAAGCTGAGTTGCCTCTAATAAGGAGCAGTGTTCTGTGCTTGTGCCATCAATGGAGAGGATATGGTCACCAACATGCAACGCACCACATCTGCAAAGGAAACAGCAAGAGAAGTAATTCTACACATGGCCAAACCCTTGCCCTTACAGTTGGGAGTGGAAACATACAAAATCCAACTGTGAATGACCACATGAATTTATTTCCATATCTCATTTTTTTTTCAATTCCAATTTGAACCTTAAGTTTAAACCTTAAGCATTGCCCAAAATACCAACTAAGATGGTTCATGCTTGAGTCAGTGCTTATGAAGGCTTGGGAAAGATATTTTAAGTTTTTAATAGTGCCCACTCATAGCTAGTCCGGGTGGCTGAGGACTCACCCAGCAGTGGAGTCCTACGAGCCAGTAGTCCAGCTCAGGGACACTACTACCCACAGCTAGGGCTGCATCATGGTCTGTCTCTCTGCATCCCCATGTAAAGGGTGACTTGCTGACTTGACCATTAGGAGTGTCCACTGGTGTTGGGTCAGATATTTTTAGCATGCTTAGTGCTAAGAATATGTGGACATGGCCATTTCAAGGCAAGGCAGGGAAAAATGGTATATAACTAGCAAGGGGACAAAAAAGCAGCGGAGAAAGGAAAAGCAGAGCTAGGAGCAGCCTGTTCAGATCTGTACCTGTCCACCACGCTGGCCGGCTTGATCTTGTCGATGACAATGACCTGCTTGTTCCGGTGTGTGGCTGTCGTCAGTGTGATTCCTAGCGTAGACCCCGGAGTCTTTGCTATTTCAACTAGTAAAGGACCTGAAGCATTTGCTACAGTATCTGCAAAACAAGAGAGCACCTGAAGACACTTCTCATACAACCTTTCCCATTTCTAAATGCAGAGGGTCAGCCAATAGTGCTGACTAGCCACGTATCAGCAAACCTGTGGACATCCTATAGGCTGTGTCACACAATAACTTAAAAAAATGATGACCAGCACACAAGTAAGTCAATTCCTGTGTGCTTCAACACCAGCTTCAAAATATCGCTTCAACTGCTCGTTTCAGCTCCTCCGGTGCTTACAAAAGCCTGCTCTCTCCCATCAGACAATACAGGGGTAACTCATGTTTAAAAGCTGCATTTCTGCAATAAGCCTAATAGATGTTGTAAGTGAGACTATGAAACTCCTACGACATTGCACTTGTTAGCATAAACCTGCACAATACCTATTCATCTCTTCTGAGGAGGGGGAGGAAGAAGAAAGCCCATGTCTCTGGTTGATTAGACAGAAATTCCCTCCACCTCTATTACACACATTTGCTTCCAGATTACCTAAAGCCACTGTAAAAAGGCTGGATTCACACACATGTTATCAC